CTTCAAATGGTTTTCGCTGATATAGCCAAGCTGCCTACTTCCAGCAGCGGGTACCACTATATTTTGGTTGTTGTTGATCACTTTAGTAAATACACCAATATTTACCCCATGCGAGACCAGACCGCCCAGACTGTGGCTGGACACTTGTTCGAAGAATACATCAAAGAGCATGGAGTTCCTGAGTCACTACATACAGACCAAGTAAGACAATTTGAATCCCGACTAGTCCAGGATCTCTGCAAGAGGCTCGGCATTCGCAAATCTCGATCATCTCCTTACCACCCACAGGGAGCTGGCATCGTTGTAAGAGCGAACAGAGTTATCAAAGAACAACTTGCTAAGTACATAGCAGACCCAGGAGGTGACTGGGACAAGCATATACATCAATTGCAGCTAGCCTACAACACTTGTGTCCATATAAGCACTGGCATGACACCCTATTTCATCATGCACGGTCGTGAAGCAAGGATCCCAGCTAGTGTCACTTGTCCTATCATGACTCAGTCATATGATTCTCCTCAAGAGTATGTCACTGATGTGTGTTCCCGGCTAAGACAGGCTTTCCAACATACCAGACAGAAGGCAGAACAAGCTCAACTCAGGCAGAAAAGGGACTATGATGCGTCAACTAGGACCATCAAGTATGCATCAGGAGATCTAGTTTGGTTACACAATCCCATCAATGCTAGACGCAAACTGGAGCCCAACTGAAGGGACCTTTCATCATCGTCTCATCCTCACCAGATAACCTTAACTATCTGATAGCCGACATTCATAATGAAAGTGCAAAGAAACTAATTCATCACAACAGACTCAAACTCTTCAGATCTAGAGCTTTTCTACAAGGGAAAGGACCTTCAACTTCACGTCCTCCTTCAGGTAGTCAGAAAAGACCTGAAGTTATCCCTCCTTCCTCAAGTCCTCCTTCAAGTAATCAGGCAAGGCCTGATATACCTCCTCCATCTCATTTGGCAACTAACACTCCAACACAAGCTGATCAGTTCCGGCCGCCAGAAAACCTCCAGGTTCCAGCAGGTCAACAACCAATCCACTCTGAGTTAGGCAATTCTGACCAACCATCTTGGTCAGAGGCGTCTAATGGACAGTCATCAACTCAATCCATACAACGACAGACTCGAGAGCGACAGGTTAACTCCCCAGACCATTTCCATAGACCAGGGCCCTCTAGAGAAAACCCTGATGTCAACCCCGATGTCAACCCCGATGTCAACCCCGATGTCAACCCCGATGTCTACCCTGATGTCAACCCCAAAGTCAACGACCAGCAATACACCACTCAACCATCAACTGGTGCATCAGCGAACCAACGTACACCCCGCACTATGCAAGAAGACACCACGACGCAAGAGGACACCACAACGCAGTTAACTCAAACTCGCTCTGGTAGATGCGTCCACAAACCACAGAAGTATAGCGATTACCAAATATCGAGAGGTATTGAACATTTCATTAGTCTGAAGTTGACATTTCCGTCAGAAGGAAAGAACGTTTCAACTGTCAACTTTCGGTTATGGAAAATTACAATATTGATTGGACTGTGATCATGAATGACAGAGGCATTCAGACTCATTCATGCTTTAAATGCTAAACTGGACTGTTCAATATATTTGACTTTATGGACTTAGCAACAATTTTGAGCGATTTTGATATTGAAAGGACTGTGAAGTTCGTCAGTTATTTACAAGTCAGAACATCAGAATTATGGACTGAGAATTTCAAGCGTTTGTCAAGTAGGAATTGAAATGGACTGTATTCCTTCTAAATTTCTTGCGAATGTTTAATTACTGAATTTCTAAATTTTGAGCTAAACTTGTGTGTGTATTATTAATGATTCATACAAAGCACATGGACCATTGATTGTTAGACATTTGGTGAAATATCTAAAATATATTGGTATATTTGTTAGTGTTCATATATTGCAAGATACGTTTTTACAAATTTCTTCAATTGATTTCTAGTGGTGGTAATGCTAAATTGGAGTATTTTCTTTGTTTGTATTCATAGCGTTTGAAATTCTTGAAGTAAAGACAAAACCAGGAACAAATATAGATTTCCTTCATTTTGCATGCGTATTGACATGGTAAATGGGAAAGTATTGGTAGTCAAAAGAGATATATCGTTATTTTGGTAGTTCAAAAGAAGGGGAAAAAAAGAGAGATTAATTCTAGTCTTCTTGTTAAGATATGTTTGTATTTTGTTTAGTCGATCACAATAGTTTTGTAGAAAATAAAAATAAGGATATTACAATTGAATGTAACCACTTTTCACACATTATGTACATTCAAAAGTAAAATGTTATTGGAGTGTACAAGATGTTTGAACTGATAGTTTTTTTTAAATCTTGCAAGTTACAAATGACAAAGCAGACACTGGCTCAATCTCAGTTGAAAATGTTTTATTCTTTTAAGGAGTCATTGTGCTAATCAAAAACAATGATGTTGTAGAAAACTAATAATGACTGCATGTGATACAATATGTTTAGATATTACGATAGTGGGATAATCATGTGTTATGAACATTATGTATTTTAATATATTCATGTAACTTCTATAAACAAAAAAATCTCTATTTTCAAGTGATAGGATTATTCATTTTTCGAAGGTACAAGAATACTTTTTTTTCAAGGGTATTCACCTCTAATGATTTGATTCTCATATTGTTCGCTCAAGATAATGCATGAGAGTATAACGACTTTGATACTTTGTTTTACTTTAGCAGCAAAGGAAACAGCGTTTGAAGATAAAAATGTATTTTGTTAGGATTGCTACAACTTTTTGAATCAATTGGGTTTTTTTTAGAAAGGCAGATAGACTGTATTTATAGTTGTTTCTATTTTGCCATTGGAATCGGGAAGTGTTTCCCCAAGATAAAAGTGAAACAGATAATAAGCGAGAAAGCTCAGATATATATGAAATCATGTATTTTTTACAGATTTTTTTTTCAGCTTATACATGTATGTTAAGCCAATACTCTGTACATTTGAGTCGTTAGTCATAATTAATATACAAGTGAAATTCATTCGTTTTGTAAAATTATACATTTATATGCTTACGGGTAGGGAGGATTTTATTTTCTTTAAAAGGAAAAAAAAAGGATATTATATTGATAGTGATTCTCTGTTTACAAGAGGAAAGGATAGAAGTATCATTTTGATAGATGTTTAATGTGTTATATATATTTAGGTAATCAAAGAAAAGAGAATGCCTGATAAAATGAGGACATTTTTTTTGTAAGAGGAAGACTAGTTTGTAGGGATTTATTTTGAACTTCTGAAACTCCCCCTCATATCCATGATTCATCCCTTTCATGTTAATAGGTCATCCCTCATTCACATTCACCCTTTTCATCCACCATCCTTTCATCTGTCTATCTCTCTCTCTCTCATTGGTTTCAATGTTCACCTGATGCAGTCAAGCTTATAGTATAATTTACATATACTATGAATATTCAATATATACCTTTTGTTTATGTTTGAATATTCAAGAATACTTTGTGATGCTGATTTATACTTGTGTGGGACTATATGAATATTTATTGGTTTCTTCTACTTTGCATGGAATGTATGTGGAATGCTACATAGAATGCTGTAATGCTTTGCTACATTAAAACCTGGTCAGTTAGCCAGTAGTTATCAATCGTACAACATGTCTGCTGGGCTGCCTCTGTGTACTTAAGAGCGCTAGGAATTTGTTAGAACCACAACCTTACACTAGATAGTTTTGCATTTATTTTAAGTACTTGAAAAAGTACAAATAACATAAATTTTCTATTTTTCCATATCAGTGTGTATGATTATCCCCTTGGAGTGTGATACAGCAGGGCCTACAGTACATGTACAATCAAACCTGTCTATAAAGGCCACCCAAGGGAAACAGGAAAACTGCAGCCTTTCTTGACAGGTCCTACAGGCTACAGCACATATCTTAAACAATGGCCCTAATTTGGCCAGTCGACCTTTTATTCTTGAGTCAGGAAAATCACGATTAATATCAAATTTACAAGGAGTATGAATAATTTAGATGTTAACTGTGTGTACTTACAAAATACCTTGGATTTTTTTTTTTTGCACTTGACCTCCAGCAACTATTGCATAGTGCATAGGCCTACAATGAATAAATCCTACCACATAGCCACTTTCGTCACCTGGGTTGAGAGTGGCAAATGTACATGCTTTGGGGAGTGATTCACAAAGGTCCTAAGTCAAACTTAATTCTAAGTTAGCCTTGAACATTATGGAGAGCCATTTGTAGCCTTAAAATAAAATATATTCAAAAGCAAAAATTCAAGTAGACTCTAGACCTCTAGAGTCTAGAAGAGATTACTATTTTAGATTTTTCATAAATTCCACATCAAGAACATGAAATCTCCTTGATAATAGAAAATATGAATGATTTGAATCAACGTTTTAAGCCTTTTAAAATAACTTTTAGAAATTATTTCAAAGATGGTATCAGCTTTCCATTAGGCCTATTGTTAAGTCTAACTTAGAGATAGTCCAAATTCAACTTAGGATCTTTGTGAAACATCCCAGGTTGGTTCTGTCGAGTAGACCTGAATGAATTTGAAATATGGGAGGTTTAGTAAGTAGACTCTAGAGTCTAGATAGACCGAAAGCTTCAGTCTCGGTTGTTCCACTGAGACTACGTCTGGCTCCACTAGACCTCCGGTTATAACCGGAGGTCTAGTGGAGCCAGATGTAGTCTCAGTGGAACAACCGACGATTATAGAGACTGAAGCTTTCGGTCTAGAGTCTAGACTACATGTAAAACATAGATCTAGAATTTGTAAGGTTTCTAAAAAAAAGATTTTTATGATGTCACAGCTTTGGTACTAATCTAGATCTATACACAAAAAGTAATGCAGCTATGCTGTGTGTACAAACGTGTACGTGACGTGTGGCAGTGGACAGTGCATGCAGTGACAAATTATGTAACTTAAATCTGACTTAGATCTAGACCTAATAAATCAACATTCATTACCGAAGTCTCCATGGCAAGTTTCCATTGATTCCAATTCCCATTTTACCCTTGCTGGTGCATGCAGCAGCTATTAGATTCAGTTTCTTCTCAGCCATCTTACAAACGATGTATCAGTCAATAAAGGTTACGGAAAGACTGCAAATCTGTGATCCAAACGTTTAGAAACACACGAATAACGAAGCACCCGGAAAATGAACCCCAACAACGAGAGTCTACTTAAAACGCCCGCTAAACTGCCCGCCGGTACGTACGGTCACGTTCGCAAAGCTCGGTGATCTTTACCCGTGATCTTTCTGGTATTTTATTCAGCTGGCGCGCCGTTTTTCTTGATCAACTCTGGACGTAGATGGCAATATTGCACTGACGGTCTTTATGTAGGTACTCTAGACGGTACTGCTGTCTCCGTCATACACATTTTCTTTGCGATTATTATGTTGTGTATAGGTTTAACATTTAAATTGTCTTATAGTTCTAAAGCTTTTTTCCATATCTTTATCCCATGAAAAAGAAAAAATGAATACTTTCGAAAATTAATGATAAATTAAATGAAATGAAATAAGTGGTTAGCTGTTTACATCACAGGGGACTTCTTTTAAAAAGAAAGAAAATGTACCCTACACAAGTCTGGGTTTAGGAATTAATGCCAGAGGATTATAAAAATGTCATCACAATTTCACAACCTGCACTTTTTAATCTTTTTTATCTTCTCACCGGCTATAATTTTGTTTACATCAAATTTTGGGCATTTCCTGATTTTGTACTGCTGCATAAAATACCTGCTTTTATTACAATTATGAAGATTTTTTTTTTTTAGGTATTCAAGCTCTGTCGATAAACCCATTCGTCTGATAAGCATTATTTGTGTTCGTTATGTTTTGCATTTTTTGGGTTTGCTGTAGTTGATGTTTAATCATTCACTTATTCAGTACCAACATATTACATTTCTGCAAGGCAATGGGTTTTCCTATGCCTATTCGGTTAATTGATCCAACAATTAGCTAAAGCTTGTCAAGTTTGCCCCTGTTCAATTCATGACTTGTTGTTTGTATGTTTGTTTATTTGTATGTATGTTTGTTTCATGTTTGTCTGTCTGTCTAAAGGTTTGTTTTTTGTATTTTTCATAGCATTTTAACATCATTTTTTAGTATTTCATCTTCATTTGATTTAATTGCATCAACTCGTTTGAGCTAGGTGATGATAAAAAAAAAAAGTTTCGAAACATCTTTTTATCTTGCCTCAATTTCTATGCATTTTATCGGACCCAGCCAGCAATACCGTTCTAGTATACCTCACTTTTATAATGTAACACCCGGGGGCGCGGCGGAGCGTCTACCAAAATTGGGGGGGGGGGGGAGGGTACCAACAAAAACAAAGTCGCTTTGAACTAAGGGTGAATGTTATGGAGAAAGGAAAAGTAGGCACTTATCAGAAGAAAAAAGGACACCGTTGTCAAAGTAAAAAGGCAATTGAAAATAGGGCACTTCTTGCACATGAACAGGGACACTCAGCAGAGATTTTTGTAAAGATACTTGTCTGTTAAAAGAAAAGGGCACTTATCATATTTTAATAGGGGTATAGGCCTACTTATCAGGTGTAAGAAGCGTAATTTTGAAAAGGGGCACAATTCCGAAGGAAATTAGAAAGGAAAAGGGGCACGTGTCAAAATAAAAAGAGGCACTTATCATAAGCGTGAAATGGCATTTAAGAGAAAGGGAAAATGTCACTTATCAGAAAGAAAAGGTGAACTCATTAAAAAGGAAAAAGGGCAAGAGTCTAAAAAATATATATATATATATAAAAGGTGCCGAAAAGGGGAATTTCTCACACCTGAAAAGAGGCACTCATCAGAGATGAAAAGGGGGCAATTATGAGAATGGAAAATGGTTATTATAAAGGAAATGGGGCATTTTTTTGAAGAAAAAGAGGCATCCGTCAGATTTTGATAGTGGCAATTATTGGGGTGAAAAGGGGGCATTTAGAAGGAACAGGTGCACTTATCAGATGGAAAAGGGGCACTTGTTAGAAAGGGAAAAGGGCACGTGTCACAATAAAAGGGGCACTTATCAGAGGTGAACAGGGGCACCCATAAAAACGAAATGGAGGACTTATTAGAAGGGTTAGGGGTAATTATTATAAAGATATATTATAAAGATAAAGGGGCACTTGTCAAATTAAAAACATGTACCGCTCAGATTTGGATAGGGGGAATTATCAGAGGTAGTAAGAGGTACTTCTCGTACCTGAAAAGGGGCACTTACAAGAAATGAAAAAGGGCACTTATGATAATGGAAAATGAAAACGTATTGCAAAGGAAACAGGACATTGGCGAAGGAAAAGGGACACTTGTCAGATTTTAATAGGGGCATTTCTCAGAGGTGAAAAGGGAAGTTATTTTATGTGAAAGTGATGGGGATCTTATGAAAAAAAAATGGGGGATGCACATATCACAAGGAAAGGGGGCATTGATTAGAAGGGGAAGTTCTTACAAAGGAAAGGGGGCACTTTTCCTATGTTAAAAGGGGCACTTTTGGGGTACCTGAAAAAGTGGGAGGGGGCACTGTTCCCCCTGCCCCCGGGAGCTCCACCTCTTGTCACACCTGGTAGTTACAGGATTTAGTTATCCCATCTCAGCGAAAGATAATTATGTACACTGTTGCTCATAAAGTTGGAATATTTTTTTTTACCCCAATTTATGGAATTATTTTGACAATGATTATTTAATTCGTAATAGATCTAGATAATGAGTATACATTCTCAGATTTTATTGAATAATAATTTTCCAGTGTATGTTTTGCGTGACTGCTAAAGCATGTGTATGCTAATATGCTTAACAACTAGGGGACCTACGCCCTTAAGTCATAATTGACAGTAATGAGGATTAATGCCCCCCAAAAGAGCACTTATATAGCACATCGACATGGTTTTGATCCTGGGGCCTCACAGTTACGAGGCCATTGCTTTGTCACTGAACCATGAATGTACGCAGCGGGGGGTAGGGTAGGGGGCAGTTTCCACAAATAAAAAACAAACAAAGAACGGCCATGCATTATGGCTCAATATATATATATATATATATTGAAATTGAATGCACTTATTTCAAACATGCTTGCTCATTCAAGGATTCGAATGACCACCGAGGTACCGTAGCCGGCATTAGATGAATTCGAATGCTCTTTGCACGAAATGCACGCTCTCAGTTAATATTTGAATGACCCGATTTGATTGCTCAGATAGTAAATTTGAATGACAGATTTTGTATTTGAAAGCTGGTTCAACGCTGCGAGTGCGATTCGCGCGAATTCGGACGCTCGAAATATGAACTTGAATGAAAAAAGTGTGAAATTGGCCGCAAAAACTTATAATAAACTACCTCACACTTTCAAAATTGAACGGAATTGTAGTAAAACTAATGCGAAAGCTTATGTGCTTAGATAGCAAGTGTGCGCTTGTAAAAATGACGCCTGGCTGGAATGCTCCCCAGGGAGTGGAGCATGTGTATACACTGTGTGCTGGTAAAGCCTGAATCTGATGACCGGGGTAATAATATTTATCTGTAAAGCGCTTTGAGAGGGCCTGCGGACTTGAAAAACGCTAAGAACGAACTATTATTATTATAAACAATGGCAATTAATGTGGCAGAACAGTTCTTCTACCACGCAATACAAAATATTTTAAAAGCTCGGTTTCATCGACCGTTACTTGTAAATTAGGACTAGCAATAGACAAGATTATCCGTTGATTACGACTTGGTTTGTGTAGATCTTAATGTAGATCTAGCCTGAATTGGAATATACCAAATGGCACATTGTAATTTATGCCCCGAGATAGAAACTGTTGAACACTTCATGGCAAAATGCCCACGATAATTATTATGATAGTAAAAGCAGCTCTTACTATCATAATTATAGCTGCTATAATATGCTCCTTTCTGAAACAAATTATGAACCCTGAAGAGATTCTAGGACTTTTTAAAATCGGCAAGATTCAAAAATACAAAATGCAATTGTTCGTTTCGTTCATTTGACCAAAAATGAGCATCATTAACCGAGTTTTGTTTTAACAGTTGAAAGTAATTGAATAACCACAAAGGTTAGACATAATAAGTGTACGGTGCGTTATATAATGTTTTGTCTCGTCAAAATCATTATAAGTAGGCCTATAACCTATATATTTACGAAGGCGTGTCATATGGAAAATAAGTCTTTTCTATATGTATCATGCTTGTCTTGAAAACATTTAGGGTTTTTTGAGTACTTTTTTTATTTCTATTATTATCTTATTATGATTTACAGCACCAGTTTCATTAAAAGCCCATATGTTGTTTCTTTACATGTTTGTTTTTCGGCAGATACAATAATTTAAAAATAAAGATCAGTGCACTTGTTATAAATGTTTGTTATCAAATTCATTTTGATAGAAATGCGAGATTGCGCGAAACCAATTTCCTCGGAAAAGATCTTCCGTTGATTCTCTTTTGATTCTGTTATTCCTTTCCTTTTCTATATAGTTTTAAGATATTGAGGTATCCCAACTGTCTGCACCCGAGATCGACGTAGGAAACTTGTTTCCGAGAAACCTTCGTATGAAACATGAGCAGGTTTGTCAGGACGGTGCCAATCTCGGTAACCTGACATGATATTTTATCTTTTATGAAAATTATAATAATTATAAGGAGAAGAAAAAAATAACTACCAAAAAAACAAGAGGGAAATCATTGCCATAAAAACACTAACAACAACAGGCTACTCATTTGGCCGGTCAAGTTGGGAGCAGACCACCGTCGCCACCACCGCCGTTTCCAGGGGCGTCGCTAAAGGGGGGGAGATGTGGGGGTGCGACATCCCCCTCCCACCTGTCAGGATATTGTAGGTAAAATCAAAGAGGTATATCTTTGGTAAAATTGCGCTGCCGTCAGTAAAAATAAAGATGGTAAAAATGAGAAAAGGGGGAGGGAAAAGATGAGAGGGAAAGGGGAAAAAAGAAATAAAAAAGGGAAAGAAAGGAAAGAAAGGAAACAGAGTAGAAGAAAGAAAGAGAAAAGCGAAAAAGAGGAAGGAGAGGAAAGAAAGAAAATAGAGAAAAGGAGAAAGGGGGGGGGGGAGAAAAAGGAAACAAAAGAACCGGGGGATGAAAGAGAGGACCGAGAAGGGGGTAAGAGCCTGAGAGAGGAGGATTGGGAGTAAAAGAGAGAGGGGAGTTGTTGGTGGAGTCGTCTCGTCAAGGGAGTAAGAAAGATACGCATAAAATTATGTTGCTGTGTCGGGTCAGCTGATTGATTGATTGATTTTTATTCGACAAGCTTCCAACATACAACAATAAATAATAACAGATCAAAAAAAGTCAGCTTGAACAGGATAACCCACGAAAGCTCGAGAGCTTATTTCCAGTGGGGTCCCTTACAGACATGTATAAAATTAATAAGTTAAAATAGTAATATTTACAGACAGATAAGAAAATTAAAAGAACTACTTATTAAAGATAATAATAATAACAACATTAAACTGATGATAGAAATGATATTAAGTACAAGAAGAAAAAGAAGAAGGAGAAGAAGAAAAAGAGGAGAAGGAAGAAGAGGAAAATAATGATAAATTTGTAGAATTTCTATAACGTACGAAAACATAAGTATATACAACATGAAAAAGTATGAACCGACAGAAGAATAAAAATTTCAATCATATAACATGTCATTCACTTCTCTTCTCTGACTGTCAAGTATTAGGTATTCCTTTAATTTCCTCTTAAAATGATCATAGTTTCCTATTTCTTTTACACCATTGGGAAGGGAATTCCAATGTTTTATGGCATTGTAATAAAACGAATTTCCAATACTACCTACTCTTTCAGGTAAGTTAAAGTTGAATCGTCTATTTCTTGTATTATAATCATGTACGTCAGTAACAAGATCGAAGTTGGATCGAATATAATGATTCGACCTAGTATGATATATTTTATGCACATGATGCAATACGAGTTGTTTTGATCTTTGGTCGACTTCAAGAAAACCAGCTTTAGAAAGTTCGCTGTAGCCAACATGAGTTCTTGGACCAGAACAGTTGATAAATCTCACCATTTTGTTCTGTATAATCTTCAACTTCTTTTGATCTGACTTGTTTATGTTACTATACCATGCAGGGTTAGCATAGTCAAATAAACATTGAATAAGAGCAAAACAAAGTGTACGTCTTGCTTTTAAATCCATACAACTTTGATATCTGTACAAAAATTTCAGACGAGAATTTGCTTTTTTTACAACTGATTCTACTAAAGATGAAAATGAAATTGCGCTAGCCAACTCAATGCCTAAATACTTCACAGACTCTTTTCTCTTGATTGCTTGATTATTGTGTGTCACTTTGAATTCAAATGACTTTTTAGAACTACTTTTAGAACAAAATAAAATGCTTTCTGTTTTCCCCAAGTGTAAAGAAAGCTTATTATCAGTCATCCAATCGACACACGTAGACAGCTGTTCACTGAGCTTTTCCTCAATATATTTAGGATCAGGATTTGAATAGAGTAGTACGCTGTCATCTGCGTACAATAATAGTTTGAAGTCTTTTATACAAATACACATATCATTTATATAACTTGAAAATAGAATTGGGCCTAAAATGCTTCCCTGAGGAACACCGCAAGTTATAGGCATTAGTTTGGAACGAATATCATGAATGGCCACTACTTGGTGCCGATTAGATAAGTAGGATCTAAACCAATCTAAACTTGCCTTATCAAAACCCATTAGTTGTAACTTCTTCAATAAGATGCAATGATTAACTGTATCAAAAGCTTTTTGCAGATCAAGGAGCACCATACCAACAAAGCGCCCTTGGGAAGTTTCTCTCCTCAAATAATCAGTCAAATGAATTAGACATGTTTCAGTAGAATAATCATGTCGAAAACCAGATTGAAATTCATAAATTATATCATTTTCTTTGAAGTATCTTTCAATTTGAACACAGACCGATTTTTCTAGAATCTTTGATGCTACGCTTAAAACACTAATAGGTCTATAGTTGCTAACATCAGTTTTATCTTTCTTTTTATAAAGTGGAGTCACTTTTGCTATTTTCATATCCTCTGGAAAAGTACTCGTCAAGATAGATAGGTTCATTAAGTAACTTAGAGGCTTAAATAAAACCTTCGCACCATCTTTTAGAAATTTAGCTGGAATCAAGTCTAACCCAGTACTTTTTGATACATTCAACTTACGTAACTCTTTGAAAACAAATTGTTCACTGATTGGTAATAACTCGAAGCTGTTTTCACGTACACCTTTTCTTTCGTAAAATTCACGAATACAATCATTGTCTGCGCTGAAAAAGTCTTTGGAAGGGGGGAGTTTGTCTACTAATTTGGCAGCCACATTTGTGAAATGAGAATTGAATTCATCAGCGATGGCCATCTTATCATGACATAATTCCCCATCAATTTTAATGACAGATTCTTGTTCTTTTCGCTTCTTATTTTTCAATCCTAAGCTTTTTAGATTCTGCCAAAGTTTTTTCGAATCTTGTTTATTTTCTTCTATCTTGTTTTGTAAGTAAACGAGTTTAGCCTTTTTCACCTCTCTTTGGACCATATTTCTTAATACTCTGTATCTTTTATAGAGCTTCTCATCTTTTGTTCTTTTCCTCCATTTTTTGTATACTATATTTCTCTCTTGAATTAGGGAAAGAATATCTTTAGTCACCCAAGTTTCTGATCTTTGTTTTATTCTTATCCGTTTCAGTGGCGCTATCATATTCAAATTTGAGATAAAAACATGTTGAAATATTGACCATGCCTCATTTACATCTGTACAGTCAGTTATTCGTGACCAATCAACAACAGATAGTTGAAGATTGAAAGACTCTTCTGTATATTTTTTCATGGATCTGATATCATTAGTCCTGTGATGACCTATAGCCAGTCTAACATTTTTCCGTGTACAGAAAGTAAAATAATGGTCGCTAATACCTAGATCAATGACACCACTTTGACTTATTTTATTTTCTTTGGTACAACCAACATGATCCAATAGAGAAGAACATGTAGGTGTAACGCGTGTTGCCTCTTTAATGAGTTGACTAAACCCATGAAGACTCAACAAGTCAATATATTTTTTAGCCAGTGGCGATTTGCGAAGAAGACAAATATTCATGTCTCCTAAAAGAATTATTTCGTCATCCTTCTTTAATGTATCAAGAATATTGGACAATTTCTCGATAAACAAATTGTTTTTCGGAGGTCGATACAGAACGCCAACAACAATTGGTTTTGATCTTGGTATAAGCAAATTTATCCACAGGGATTCCGTATCTCCAGTACTTATAGCATCCATAATATTAAATGCAATATCATTTTTGATATAGAAACATACACCACCTCCAGAGCCAGAGGATCGATCATGGCGTATGATTTTATATCCGTCTATTTCAATTTCTTCATCATTTATGGAATTGTTTAACCATGTTTCAGTGAAAGCAATAATAGACAGCCTTTTTCTTTTAAAAAGAATTCTAAGTTCCGATATCTTGTTTAGAATAGACCTCACATTAAGGTGTAAAAAATGAAGACCTTTAATTTTAAACTTTTCTTCAAATTCTGTGTCGGTATTCTTGCTCGATCCTCGTGTACTATATTAATGCAGAAGTTTGAACTCGGTGAGATGTATAATGTCGGTCGGCGGTCAATTTTTTTCCGTAAGAACTGTGACTTTTTATCCGCTGTGACGACTTCGAGAGACTTGTAATACTTGTATTTCTCGAAGTTTCACCTTACTATATCAGCTAAAGAAAAAAGAGGTTTAAAATTGGCAGCCCCCAAGATTTTAGAGTACAGGCGCCGCTCTCTTTCCAACCACGCAACACCGATTGATTGCTTAAATATGTTGCACATTCAAATAAATAGCTACGATGCTGACTATAGTCTTAACGAAATAAATCGTACATTAATGGTCGAGGAAAATGACCATGTGCGCATAGGCAAGTAAAGATAGTTCATAGGAAAAATAATTTAGCCCCATGCCCCGGGTTTATAGGGTTAAATTTGTAGACATTGGCATTAATAATTATGTTTGTCGGTAATTGGTGGCTAATTTTGTCGGTATTCGGTGGCCTCTACACCCCCCCCCCCCCCCCACTGAAAAAGGTATAGCGACGCCCCTGATCCTTTCCCCTTCACAGGATTGCTACTTGTGGCTGGAGTATACAAAGACAGCCTTATCGATCAGCTCCCTGAACACACTACGTTGTAACGCAAATATAATCGATGGGAGCACCGAAAAGATAAAGAAAAGAAAGCCTATTGTGATGTGCTTCTTTATACAAGTCAAGGGAGCAGCTCCATATGTTCAGGTGTTTCAAACGTACTCCCTGACTGATGGCAACATTCTTTGTTCTGAAACTGACTCAACAGCGGTGGATGATAGTATATTAAGACATTTTGCGTAGTAGAATCAGGATGGAAAGGCTTCGAACAAAGGTAAGACTATATTATTAGATAAAGATTCCATTTCAGTGTTACAATATTATTTTACTATATCATGAATATTGTACGTGTTACGATTATTTTCTTCAAGAAGAGCCTCACACAAAAATTCAAAAGCTCGAATAAGATTACAATGGTTTACAATTAAATACTGACAATGAGGACGTTGTCGTGCATAATTATGTTGTGATGTAAACTCAGACATAATTTGGCCTTAAAGGTTGATCTACTGTTGCTAGTTCAACCTTGTTTTCCATTCGGATTACAATTTGTTTACACTTCTATCAGGTGCTAATTTTGATGTTCATCATCGTCTCAACAATCCTGCTCATCGTCCATCAGTATGCCAACATCTCAGATCTTATGTCCCATCCATTTATCCAAAAACAATTCACCTCAAACCATGGAGGCAACGGACAAATTCATTTGCAAGAAATACAGGAGAAAGCAGATCATGGAATGGTGGGGAGAATAAACGAGGAACAAAATGAGAGTAACAAGTGGAGACAACAGAAACTGAGTGAATTGGAAGACGGCAGCACCCCTACTTTGAATCGGAACCATAATGCTTCATCAGCTTTTACCCCAATCAAAGAGCCGAACTACAGAACAACATTTCGTAAGGTGTCGAAACCTTATTATCCCAATGTTTTTGAGTATGATGCGGAGGGACGTGTTTTATACTTGAAGGATAACGAGATGACGACCATGCGACCTGGCGCCACAAAGGAACTCGTCTTATCGGCTCCTGAGGTGAGTTTGCTATGAGCAACTTTGAAGATTACTATCTGCTCATGGGCACATCAAAGGCACACAAAATGTAAAACACATTCGTTTCGTTTCGTTTATTTTAGCACGGTGGCATACTTCAGCCATAATTTTATGGCTGTTCTTCAGGCATGGCCGTGAATCGAGACGATTGCTGGATACATGTTTACGAAAGTTATGTAAACATTAATTAATTGTGTACCGACGGTACATGATAATTATGATACACAGGAGGAAGACTTGGGGCCATAATGTTCTTTTCAAAAGGGCAAACAAAAGGTATGGCATGAAGCACTTCCATCACTTTGGGAGACATTGTTCAAAAATGCACAAAGTGGGACCTCTCAATGTTTGTAAGATCCGATGATAATTATAAGGAGACTATTTTTTAAATGTGCCATCTCCGAAGTGGTCTTACCTCTGGTAGCGATTACATGATTCTCTGGCACGGGGAGAGATGGGGAAACAAATTCGTCCATGAACTGACAAGCAAAATATTAAAAGTTACATTTTCAAGATCCATTTTTCTGCATGTCAATTCCATTTCATTTCCACACTTCTACTCCTTCAGCTGTTCGAGAAAATTCCCACTCGATTTTTGAACACCTTCAAGAATCCTTGCTGGCTTCGAGGCGGGAGAGAGCTGAATTGCCTGCCATACTTCTACATCATCGGCATGTACAAGTGCGCCACCACAGATATTTGGAGCAAGATAGTACAACATCCAGACGTCACCAAGGTTGCCAAAGAACCCCATTGGTGGGGGCCAAGAAGACACGGCTTCATGAGGAGTCATGTCGCTACGACCGGTGGTACGTAAGGAATTTGCAAGACACACACTCCTGCGCGCGACAAAATGCTCTGCGGTCAATATCCTAACCGAATTCCAAACTTTAACCCTGAACCTAATCATAACTGTAAGCTTGACCTTGACGGTTTAACCTTAACCAAAACGTTAACCTTTACCATACCCCTAACCTTAACGGGAATACTATTTCTATACCATAATCACTAACTCTAAATGTGACCCTACGCTTACCCCAACTTTAACCCTTACCCTAAATTTCACCCTAAACCTATAGTCCCGTATTCTGAAGTCGTGTCTAACTCCTGTTTAACTAAACACTTGTCTAAGTCCTGTCTAAGTCCTGTCTAACTAAACAGTTGTTTAACTTTAGACAATAGCTAAGTTAGACATGACTACAGAATACGGGCCATAGAATCTAGTTTATAAGTTAACTTGTGACAAAATAACACCCGGAGCAATTATTATTCTCGCCGTTGCAAAAATAATGTCGGATCACTTGTAAGACAATCGCAAAAATTCAGAGAGTTAAATGCGAATTAATAAGGTCATCGATTGGAGGTTTGTGGGAAGGAGCATTTCATGATTTCCTCGTCCTTTTCCTCCTCCCTCATTCATTGTCTCACTTCTGTTTATTCCCCTTTTCTCCGCCATTTTAGCCCCTCCCCCCCGCCCCCCCCCCCCCCCCCCCACTCCCAGCCCACGTATTGACGTATAGCTTTACGCCACTGACAGGCTTAATTAAACAATGCCTTATAGTTATAGCACATCCAGAGATGGTACCAGAGAGAAAGGGCTCTAACACCCCTTTCCTAATTCATTGCATTTGTCCAAGTTGTAAAAGCAAAGAAGATTGGTAGAGTATCCTGAAATTAATTAGTGAAAAATAAGTTAATATTTCGCAACTGCTTTAACTCAACGGACCCTTGTTTCAAATTTATACCAACTATTATACCCATTATATCTGTGATCAATTTCCCCTTTTCATCCACTTAGTTTATGTTATTATTGTTGTTGTGCTTTTTGTTATTATTGGACATAATTATTGTTCTTTGTATTTTCGATATTCATTTATTTATTTATTTAATATTTATTTATTTACGTATTTATTTATTCATTTGTTTATATATAATTTATTTTCATTAATTAATTCATTCATTCATTAAATCATTTATTTATCCATTTAAAAAAAAATTACATACTTATTTATTTATTTATTGTTATTTTCTTAAAATTATTTTCCATTTCAGTATTACGTTCTCGTAACGTGACTGGGGGTCCTGACGATAGCTCTCTGGAGTGGTATCTTAATTTCTACAAATTTGACGTGGCTCCTAGACTAATTAAAGAAAAGGTCAAGAGAAGAAATGAGCCTTACCACCCGATTGTTTATGGTAAGATTTAGCAGAATGAACCATGCTTTAAAAACATATTATGATTGAATGTTTTGATGATAATGATAACAATAATGATAATAATATATCAGATAATTATACAAGGCGTCGAATTCGCTTGAAATTGAATGACATAAAATCATCTGCATTTATAAACAAACGAACAGGAATAAGATAGAACATACGAAAATGAAAAAACAGTTAATTATATGCCGAATTAGAGTAATCACTAACTGATTAATAACTAGCATTTAGTTCGCTCTACATAGTATAACTAAATCACAGCGGTTGCGAAATAGAATCCACGATATTACATTACATTTAAAATAGGTACAGGGCTTGATAGGAAAGACTATTCTGGAAAGAAATATATGTTTATAAGAATTTCTTAAAGGTAATACAAAGTTTTGGTATGGGGTCATCAATTTGGTTCAAATGAACATATTCGAAGCATATGCGATCCTACAATATTCATTGATCGTTTTCGGGGTTGAAATCGAGTCTAAAGTTATGAAATTGTAAATAATACACTCTTTATGTGGTATAGCTCCCTCTTAAGGTCAAGATATCAATTAAGCTGTAAAACAATGTTTCTTGACTAAAATCGACCGATTAGCTTTTCCCGTATGGAAATTATATCAGAACTACATATTCTGATATTTTCAGGGTCGCAGCTACCATTGTTCGGCCGTAGGCGCTATTTGAAATTTATCAAAATTTACCGGGAGCACCGGTAAATTGTTATATTCAAATTTTCTCGAAAGCAGAAGTATTTTAGGGGCTAAATTTTGCAGTACTTGTAATACATCCACATGGGCATCCAAATATATCAAAATTGTAAAGAATCGCTATCCACCCAATTTTCAAAATTTCCCAAAACTTTGTATTACCTTTAAATTGGTCTGTGGAATAAGCTGATTTGATCCAAATTGTTCAATTTTCGCAGTTATGTTGAATGTGCGATAATCCGCTCGATCGATTGTAGTAATAGAATTAAAAGAAAATATCACTTATAATATATGAAAAGATACGTTTCCTATAATTGTAAAAACCTGTTTGGACTAACCTCCGCATGATTTTAGGGACAGCGATTGAAAGTGAAAGAGACAAGGGTGGAATAACAAGTAGATTCAGAAAAGGAAAAAGTTTCAAGTTTTATTTCAATTCAAATCCATAAAAACACATGTAAGATAGAGATTATATACCATACAAAATAGAGAACACACTGAAAATGGAAAATATCTACAAAATATATACCGGAATTATACAAAGTTAATCAGCAATAGAAATGAATTGGGGAAACTGCAAATATAACCATAAGGTTCTGTCGAGGCAGTCCCTGTTATTAAAAGATACATACAAAAGGAGAAAAGGGGATTGAAAGGAGCTGAAGAAGAATACAAAGCACTATATCGCAAGGATTTTAATAGATTTAACTCAAGGGTTATTTCAATTAGAAATCATGTCCGGATTACGCAATGTGCATGCCCATATTTCAAAGGTGATGCATGGACGAGGCTTCTGAAATTACCTTAGGTTCATTTCTCGAAGCCTTTGCGATCGTTTTATGAGGACAAAAATGAAATATATTATAAGAAAAAAGGGGGAAAATTATCGTAATGATTGTGATGGTGAGAAGTAAGAAATGCATTTTAGGAATATGTTTTTCGAACAGTCTTTTTTTTAAGGGGGAGGCCAATTGCCCCCTCTTCCGATTTACCTACATCAGTATGTTTTGATTATTTGGGAATCAAATTTTATATTTGTTATGAAGGTGATGCTTCGATATCGACCGCCTATTCTATGGGGCTGGAGTGGATAGACAAGTACCCCAATGCCAAGGAACCACCATACACCAACGCTGATCTCATCCGAGCTTTACAACCTAATGCCAAGATTGTTCTCATGGTTCGAAACCCTACTAAAAGGTACGGAGACAACCCCCATCCCCATTAAACAAACGAAGACATTAACAGTCTTATAGTCAGGTGTATCAGAAAGTACACCATAATTTCATTCCTGCACACACACACACACAATGTGTGAAAGCGTACCCGGACACCTATACCCCTGGTCATCCACCCCCGGATAACCGCCCCTAGTCAACTACCCCCTAGGACAACTATCCCCTAGGGCGACTACCCCCCGAGACAACTACCCCCAGACAACCACCCCCTAGGACAACTACCCCTAGGATAGTTTTCCGGTGGGTACTTGTTGTAGGGGATGGTTGTCGTAGGGGGTAATTGTCTGGGGTAGTTGTCCGGGGAGTAGTTGTCCGGGGGTAGTTTTCCTAGAGGGTGGTTGTCCGGGGGTAGTTGTCCTGGGGAGTAGTTGACTGGGGGTGGTTATCCAGGGGTGGATGTCCAGGGGTTGTCCTAGAAACGTATAAAAGAACGGTCGTCTATGTTTTAACAAACTATGTCGTTATAATTATGAATGTTCTCAATAAGGCCTAAAATAAAAACTTGTTGTATTGCCCTTTAGGTGCCAAAACATGGGTCGGTCGGTCGGGATTTAAAAAAAAAAAAAATTAAAACTTTTTTTTTTTGTCGTCCTCTTTAGGCCGATATTTTTCAATTTGAATTTATTTTTCCGCCCTCTTTTGGCTGATATTTCTCAGTTTTTAATGCTTTAATAACATGTGTTTCAGCGTCATCATTCCATTCATATCTTTTTTAGGATTTTGAAACTAGGGCAGAAGACAAGTGAGAATTTGTGAATAATTTGATATTATGCATTTATATCCCATTTAAACAAACAAAATGTTTTTTTTTTTAATTCATTAATAAAAAAAATTGATAAAAAAAACGGTTAAAAAAAAAAATTAAAATGCCGACCGTAGATTTTCAGATTTTGGGGACGGTCGCAAAGGGCAATACAACAAGTTTTTATTTTAGGCCTAATCCATGCAGTGGATTTATTATATCAAACGCTATGAACAACTCGACTGGTCTTCTATATTTTAGCTTGCGACGTTTCAAGTCTGTTCCGAGATGCTCCATCGTGCCGACTGGTCTTTAACGGCAAATGTTTTTTCTCCTTTATAAAGAGCATAGCAATTACATGATTACCAAGAATATATGGTGTTCGAAAGGTTATTCAAGGCGCTTGTTATCATTTTCATTTCGTATTTCGTATCTGAAATAAGTTTGGTCTAATAGTTGTTAAGTATAAATATGGAATGTTTCTGTGGTACATCAGTATGTATCGTTTCACCATAATTCGTTAATACAATATATATTCAAAATGTGAAATTGTTTAGCCCATTATTTCATTCTAATCATTTTGTCAGCATAATTATTTTAAGTTCATAGTTTATATCAGCATTTTATTTAATGTTTTACTTCTTTTTAATACCGACTCTCTTTACAAAATTGGCACAGACAAATCCAGCTGATAATATATGTCACACATTTTTTTAAATCTCTCCGACAGGGCCATTTCATGGTGGTGGTACAGTCATAAATCTCTAAGTAAACGCCTCGATCGGCCATATTCTGCCAAGACTTTACATGACGAAATGATCAAATACATCGATTGTTTTAATGGTTGCCTGGAATTACACAACGTCAGATATTGTGCCTATGTCTCTGGCTGCGTGAGTATTACATGGATCTTGCGTTGGAAAGTACATTTTATGCTTCTGATAGGTCTGATTCTATGACCAGAAATGCGACTTTATAAGATACACATTTTCTAGAGATACCTTCCCAAATTTATTCACATTTCCCAAATCATTTTCATTTTCCGTCAACATCCTATTCCTATCACACAGTGGACAGTGTTATGACGGTAGATTAGAGCCGATCGTTGGTGGCTGAGGGGACATGCATGCAGCTTACCCCCCCCCCCCCTTAGACTGCCAAGTGAAAATGTGATGTGCATAGAAAACGCCATCATGTGCCATCAACAAAAAAAATCGCCTCGCCGCTTCGCGACTCGGCCATTGTGTAAACCCCCCCCCCCCCCCCCCCCTTAGCAAAAATCTTGATCCGCCCCTGGTACCCGATCCGCCTTCCTCTTCATTTCCCTGTTCTCTTCAAGTATGTTTTAATTTTAGTTTTGTATCAAAGTAGTTATCAACATTTAGTTCTGTTGGTTAGCATATACAGAATACACTGCAGAAAAATACCGGACAGTAAATTTACAATATATATTCCACACAACTCCAAAAATCAAGTCCCAAGAACGACGACGCAATGCTGTTCAATAGTCAGTTTCTGTATTATTTTGGGAGCTGCGTATGTCATAAATTATGTGCACGATAAGTAATTTCCAAGTAACGTAAATCGTTCTCTAATTACCAAACAAAGTATGTTAAAAGCAAAATTGTACTTGTTTTCTCACTTATATGCAAATTAATTTAGTTTTGATAAGGGTTAAATAAGAAATAAAAAATAATACGTCAGGACAGTTATATTATAGGTCATAGACTCTGTAAGATATTGTTTGATTAGTTTGAAGAAAATGAAGTTTTTATAATTTTCTTCGTACAACTGATGCTATCTTATTTTTCTTCAGCCTTATAAATTGGTACCCGACATTCAGGCTGGAATTTACCACGTGTATCTCCAAGATTGGATAAGAGCCTTCTCACGTGACTCAGTGCACGTTATTCGATTGGAGGACTGGCAAGCCGATCCGGTGAAGATCTACAGAAAACTGCTGGACTTTTTAGATTTACGTAAGTTGCCTGTTCTTTTACCGAAGATAGAGAAATAGAACAATCTCAAAGGAGGAAGATGGGGGAGAGAAAGGGATAGAGTTGCAGAGAGAAAGAGAACGCGCCTTGGTGATGGTCGATTGTTGAATCTGAACATCTCTGTCTTGATTGTATTCAACCAAAATCGACTGCCTGAAAATTGTGCTGACATCACTTCAGTGAATGTTACTTTCAGCAGCATGTTTCCGTTAGGTGGCTCACATTATATGTTCTTCTAAACTTCTCAATGATAGGCCTACTGAATCCAACATTTCTTGAAGATTGTTTCTCGTATCTAAGTGAAGAATTCAATTTGTTAACATAAAAATTCTTCCTTCTTCATCTTCTTTTCTTTTCAGCGAAACTGACGTATACGAAAGTGAAGGAGATAGTTATAAGCAAGACGGCGAACGTTAATATGAAAGAACATGAGGATGCTTGGCCGGAGACAGTCAGTCTCCTTGATGATTTCTTTCGTCCCTACAACCAAGAGCTAGCAAAACTGATGGGCGACGACAAGTTCTTATATCTATGATTCTTCTCTCTCTCTCTCTCTCTCTCTCTCTCTCTCCATCCCCCTCTTTATTTCTTTTTTTTCCTTCTCCCTGTCCAAGAGCTAGCAAAACTCACGGGCAAACAGTTTTTGTATCTATGATTTGTTCTTCTATTTGTTGTTCTCTCCCTCTTTAAGTTATATTATGGTTTGTAACATTTTGAAAAATGAATGATTAGACAAGTTTTCTACAGGTATTTTACATTGGAGACCTTTTTAACGTGCCACTATTAATCTTTGAAATTGCTGATGAAGAATGATTATACCCGCTTGGGCAGAGTTTGCCATTATGTATAGCATAATCAGCATTGTGAATGGTAAGGCCGTAACAACATGTTCCCGATAACTTTACACGAACATTAAAAATAATGTTAAAAAAAACACAGATCCATAAAAGGGGTAACCCACCCCTCGCCCCTTGTCATAATTATTTTCTTGATTGTTGTATCGAATTCGAGGTGAAAATGGTTTATATATAGTTGTTGGTTGTGTTCTGACTATCTACGCTTTAAGTCAGGTTCTTTAGGCAAATCAGGTAGTCGAGTCGTAAATCGCACGAATAACATTCAATTATCGTTCATCTTCATTTAAGCTTACCAACTTTGGACGAATAGCTGCAAATATTGATAACTTAAAAGAGTCTCCTCGTGTAATTACGAGGTATATAATTTCTTATTTGCATTCATGTTATTTTATACGAAATTCTCCTCTCCAGGGGTGTCGCAAGAACTTTTTAAATGGCTTCTCTTTTTGGTGCATTATTTTGAAATATGATTTGATCTTTAAATATGTATTTGACTACACCGTCTTTTGTAAATTTTTCTACTTTTATTACTTCAAATAAATACAGAGTCATAGATTCTTCACGAAATTTATCTTTTCATTGAATACTGTATTTTGTTCTATTTATGCACTCGGAAGTGAAGTTATCAAAAGCTGTTCAAAAGTTGTTCTTAAATGACCCATGCGATCATCATCACAGCAACACCACAAAATAAACAAAACAGAATGTCATCCTCACATAGGATTGTGTTTTAATTTTCTGACAAAAAAGAGAAGAAAGATTGATGTCACAAATATAGAAATACTAGAGTACATCTGGCTCTCCATACTACTCATATCGAAGTATGTATACACAGATATATTTATTGTAAAAACTATGTTTCATAGTAGTTACAAAGGACACAGAAATACAACATTTGAGTTTACATCTGTACATGCTTCTCTTAATGAAATGCCATATTCTCATGCAAACCTATTTTCCCTCGCAAATGTCATTACAATCAGCAAGAAACATTTTACATTTAACATGCAAGTAAAAGAGCAACGCATAAAATAAATCCGACGATATGAGTGTATCTTTTTCATTTCCATTCATAAGTTTTGATTTTTTTTCTTCTTTTCAAATGTGTGCTTTCTAATCCTTTCATAAACAAAATCCCCAAATCCTTACATCTGTAATTCCTGTTTACATTTTTTCAAGTTAAAAGCAATTTTAAGAGATAAAAGTGCTCACTCTAAATATAAAACTTTAAGAATTGACTCCAACATGTAGCTTGGTCATAAAAAGAATTCCCATTAAAATCTTAGAATTCTAAAACATAAATTAATTTCTCCATTCATGATGGCATACATATTACAAAAATAATGAAAAATTGATAGTGATTTATTTCAACATAAGGGACATAAGATTAAATAAGAAATAAATCAATGTGAATTAAAACAATTTCATGATATTCCACTTAACAAAATCGAGAACACACACAATGGAGAATTATCAAATAAGCCTTAGTAAAGAGTACTGGTAATCTGTTATACAACATGTTTTATCATTCTTAAATTGATTCTGAAGAATAGAAACTGAAACTGTAAGATCAAACTAAAAGGCTTCCCATCTATTTTAAAAATAAAAATAAAAACATGGTTTTTGTCTAAGGAGCAGGTCCAGTAAGGAGTTTAAAATATCGTACAAGTACATGTATCTACAAATGAACATGAGTAAATACAAAATTGGAAAAAAAAATCAGAAGGAAGTGTGTTGTATAAAACACAAAATTTCTAAGTGTAGAAAATGTTATGAAATATATATTGTGTTATCGTATGCCAGTTCTCAAATTTCCTCCTTTTTACTTATAAAACAACACAGGACACTTAATGGGGATTTTTTTTAAATCAATATAGAAATACCTCTACAGCTGTCATACAGAGCATAAAGAAAGAAAGAAAACAAATTAAATATCAGCTGATATAGTAATTTCAACACTTGCTCTGTTAACAAAAAGGGCAAATCTTTATCAATCAATTCAAATGGCTAGCGAGCTGTTATATCAAACACCTACCACTCATGGGAAAGAATATTATCTGCTGAGAGCCAGAAGGGGGTTAATCGTGTGTTAAATGATGTGAGTTTATGCCCTAATGCCTCTCAGCAGATGAGTTCATTGTCGCCTGAGCCATTGCGTCACATGATAAAGCATCGTCTATACCTGGTTTGTACCACAGGAACAGAATGGGTCGAGGTTTCAATAAACTTGTGCATGTAAATGATACAGAACCGAAACCTGTGAAGGCATGCAGCTACTATATTAATGATGAGATATGTACCTTCCGGACCTTGAGGCAGATCAGCCCTGTTATCCATAAAGTCTACTACTTCATGTTTCATCTGGGGCCATAAGGATGTTAACTTTATGTGATACCTTAGTCACACCGACAAAACCAACACCAGACCGACAACAGGCCAAATGAAAATATTCCGTTACGTCTATGGCCAAGAGTCGGTGGGTGTGGAGTCCGTTTGACCGTCTGACTGAGGTATAAAAGTTTATGGCCCGAATTCACAAAGGAGGTTTGTTGACAAACCAAGGTTTATGTACATCATATGACGCGTTTTGACACGTTTTTTACAAACCTGGTTTGTAAAAAACAAAAGGAGGTTTGTCGACAAACCTCCTTTGTGAATTCGGGCCAAAGAGTTCATGACTTTGTGGCTCCAAAAAGACGATATGTAAATGATGAATATAGCACCGAAAGGTGGACCTGTGCGCTATACAAGTAGCCACTATTATTATTATTATTATTATTAATATATATAAGAGGTATGAACCTTTTTATATCTGAATGAGGTGGTATGCACCTTTGTATTGTATGTTGAGAGGCATGTCGTTAACTCTGTGACACTGTATGCAAGTTAGTGTGCTTCCGACTCTCACCCTTAATGAGGAGGTTTGCACCTACACATATTTATATGAAGATGTCCTCTCAATTACTGAACCCACTCACAGTCGCACAAAGCAACATTCCCAACTATGTCCTCTCCCTGAAGATACAGAATCATTTACCAGCCTGGTGTATCAAAGTCAACAGAGTGCCAAATATATTAAAGAGGGAGGGGGGTGACAACTCCAGCATACGTAGTTACAACCGGACACCGATCCCCACTGAATTGGATACATAGCCCGTCATGGATACACTGGGGCTGAGTGTGCCTCCTACGTGTTGGTATTCTATACATATCTCTTTACTGTTCCTCGCACCTCCTTGAAAGATGAGGAAGCACGAGGCTGCAAACAAAGGGGTGGGTCTTATTGGACACACCTCCCAATGTCTGCAGACAGACAGACAGACAGACTGAACTGCTGCTGCATGAAACTGTTAAGAATGAAAACCCCGACTGCTTCTATGCTTGAAAAAGTGTATGCCCAAGTATCAATAAAAAGGGTAAAAACAAGTAAAACAACATGTAATGTGGGCCTAAATGGCTAGAATAGTATAGTAGGCAAGACAGACTCGCTGATAATTCTACTTCTTACCAATTCCTTTACAAAGCAGTCAGCCTCGATGATCTCTGACTCTATCAATCAAGAGTTTGTCAATTCACCATTTTGTAGGTTGAAAATTAGAATAATAGTGTATCAATATCATCTGAATATAAACCAGCTTTACAATCAACAACTTATTCTTATAGGCATTTTTCATTCTTACCAAACATACAAGTGGGATAAGACAACAATGCATTTTAATTTCACTCAAGAAAACTGCTTACAAGGTTTCATGTATCATCTAACATTCGGACCTATTTTCTCTTGTATCAACCCATACTAATGGGAATACAATATTTCTTGGGTTAAACAAAAGATTACACTATCACTGCAAACAAATCTTATGAAAAAAGGAATGATTGTCTCAAATTTATAAGCTTTGGTAAATATTTCTAGGAGTTCCATATCATAAAATATATTCTTGTTTGAAAACTCCTTAATAATGACATTCTAAGAACATTAGCAGAAACAATATGAAAATTTGTCTCTCCAGTTTTTATTCTTAAAAACTAAAAGATGCATACACCATGTACACCTGCATTGATAACAATTTTCTGTAAAATGTTGGGGAAAATACTGGAGCATTGCAAGCATACATATTACATGTAAATTACAACTAGTGCACATGTATTTTTAACCATGCAAATCCTAGAAATTCTTTGAAATACTCACATCTACAACTAATACAAGAACAAAACAAATTTTCACTTCTACCTTCTCCTCCATGTAAAAACTTGGTTCCCACCTTCTAAAATACTCCAATTTAAACGGGTGTAACACTCTTTCTGTCATCAAGGTCTAAGGCGATTGACCAATATATTACCATACAACTGAATGACTTGTAATATATCTGAATCTGATGACTGTATGACTTTGCCTCTATCCTCCTTCCCCTCTTCACCCTTGTTTACCTTTTCAGAAAGAGCAAATCTAATCATGTTTGTCATGACACGGAAGAAGCATCCCATCTAATATTCATCATGGGTATCAAATTTAAAAGATGGGCATGCCTTCCCATAAGGGAGGACGTGGGGCGTCGAGATTTCATTTTCAACCAGATTTCAATGACACATGCTTACAAAAACGATTTGTCTGGACTATGCAATATAAAACTTTATAGCATGTTTTTAGAATCAAACATTTAACCAATAAGGGTGCATTTTTTACACAAATAAATGTAAGACAATTAATGTAATCAATTTGAGTTCAACTGTCTTGAGAAAAAAAATATCAGGAATAAAGACATGTAGCTGTCCTGTCTGGAGTACTCATTTAAAAATTGACCCATTCAAATTTAATCACTTTTTGTATATGATTTGTCCCCTTTTGTTACAAATAAAAGCAAGAAGAGTAATGTAGTCTATCAAATGTACTTGAGGCTCTTCAAACTTCAAAGTAACTAATTTGGCAATTTGGATGAAAAAATTAGAAAATGCAGGCATGTGGACTAAAATATTCAAATAAAAGTTTAAGAAAAAAATGTTGGATGACTTTGCCTTTTTGTGCATGAGAGGTTTGAGCAGCAGACAGACCTCCAGTAAGACAATGCAAATGAGTCCTTCGACAAGGCAGATGGGCGTGACATTTTGATACATTATGAATATGAAACGTTGTGATGTGACTCATGTGAGATGAGGTGAATAGCACGAGTGAGAAACAAACTGGAGGACCTGAGGTGGGGCACGGAGCCAAACACATATCTGCATGCCATTCCAAATATAAAGTGGCCTCTCACTGAAGATTTGGGAGGCTCAAAAGTCCCTCTGGAAAACATCAACCAAAGCTTTACCACAGCACCATTTTGGTGGCATATGTGGTCTGATCAAGTTCTGAGTTCTTATATATTTTTACCAAGTTTAAATAATAAAATGATCTTATACTATCAAAAAAGTAGCTTAAAGAGGCTAATGAGAAAAACCCTGCAACCGAATTGGATCTACTTGTGCCAGTAGTATATGTTCAAATACCGGTAATTAATTATTTATTTATTGATGTTTTATATATTACAATTGATAAAACAGTGGAGGGTAGTCTGATTCAGTTAAAAGAAGAAAAATCTTGTAATGATATTTATAAATGCCTCAGGTGCTTCTAAGTTAGATAGACATGAATTACCAACATACATATACAGTGTAAAGTGAAAGGGCAAGAGAATATTGCAAACAATGATTCCTAGAATTTTGTCTTTTCAGTGTAAACTTTGAAAGGAAGCACTAAAGACGCAAGAGAGAGGGAGAGAGAGAAAGAGAGAGAGAGAGAAAGAGAGTTAGTGGAAGAAAGATGAAGGGGCCAGAAGAGCACAGGAGAGAACAGGAGGGGGCTACAGGTTACATTTAGAAGAGGAACAAAAATGAAAGAAATGAGAGAAAATAGAGTGATGATGCAAGTAAGTAAAGATGTAGAAATAGAGGAGGAAAAAGAGAAAAACAGTAAAACATAGGCGATAGGCGTAGAAGACAGGGAAGACAAAAACGGGGTATGCTCATAAAGATATTGTTCTTGAATAGTTGTCTGGAGCCGGAGGGTGAAAAGTAAGAAAGTGAGAGAGACGCACCGCATTCACTAGAGAAATCAAACCTGACATTATGAAGCAATAAAAAGTATGTGAGTGATGACTACCTCTCTCGTAAGTATCATTAAATCCCCATCTTTCTTTGCCAAGCCATGTGCTTACATTCCTTCACGTACGGCTGCATGTGAACCGCCACCACTTCACATCCACGTACACAACCAATTATCCTTATTTAGGTGACCTCATCAAGTCACATGTGCGTGAGCATATAATGGATTGCATCCGCAGGGATAAAACTATCCTCTAATCTGTGACCTGTTTCATGGAGCGAGATGCCAACAACATTCACACTGCATCATATATATAGTACCTGCATGCCCTAACAAGCATTTTCTACTATGCTTTTCCTATCAGTTTAACTCTTTAACCTATTGCCTCCTGAACCAGGTTGATCCTGCATAGGAATGACAGGTATCAGAAGTCAACAGGTTAAGAATTTCATGTTATGCAAATGGTACTTCGGCAGTTCTTGTAAATATCTTTGTTACCAAGCACCTCAAAAATTAATTTATGAGACACATCTAGAGTCAAACAATGACAAATGTGCCATGCGCAGCAAAGTGAAATTATGTCGATGCTTCAGACATATTGAACAAGCATACCAATACATGAAATTACAGAAAAAATTCACCTTACTCCAATTACGTTATTTACACAATTTGTTACGTAATGTGTGTATGTAATATATATACATATACAAAACAGGCGACAATGCTCTTCTTACAAGCCTAAAAACAGTAATGCTGACGGATAATTTTTTGGTTCTGCTTTCATTAAAAAACACAAGGGAAATCTAAGCCCCATGTAATTCTATTTACAGAGTACGACAGCACTTAAAAACGGCATCATATTTCATGAATTTCAGACCATTCTGCAGAAGGCCATGATTAGAAAGGTATCAGACCATGATTACAAGTATTCACATTAAATCCTTTTTTTCCTGTATTGTTGTGCTGCACTTGAGACAAACATAATTATCATCTGTTTGACAAAATTAACAAATGCTGGGGAAAATATATTACAAATTCACTTTTGGTGCCCTTCTTACTCAAACAAGTCCTGTTCAAGTGGCTTTTCTATCCAGTTGCCACACCCACTCTTAAAGAAGGCCTTCATCATCACCTGTTTGGCGTTGTGGAAGCCTGACGCCATCTGCTTCGCTTCCTCATAAGACCTTGCCAGCTCTGGTCTTGGATCGGTGACCATGGAAATCCTGTTGTAGATCTGCTTGAAGTGGCTAAAGAGTGCAGATTTGCAGATTTGTGAGGGTTGTCCAGACTCGTTCTTGCCCGTCGTTGTGTTGATGACCTCCAAGCAGGGGTCGTCAAACATCCAGTTGGCACTGTGGTTAGGTGCACGGCCTGGCTGGCGGCTCTCTGCATTGCTGATACCACTCAAAAGAGGCTTGTTGAGGCTGTAGCCTGCTGGTAGGTCTTCAAGGGAAGATAGACGAGAGAACATGGCCCTGGAAAGATGGTCACCGTGATAGAGTGATCCAAGAATGATGCTGCTTATGTAGATGGGCTCAATGAAATGTGTTAGGAGTGAACCTTGGACACCAAGTACATTCCATCTGTAAACAAAGTCAAAAATAACATACAGAATCACATTTGAATCACCAACCCTTGATATATATGTCATACAAAATATTTCAAGAGAACTTATCGTTTAAACAAACATATTTATCACTGATACATACATGTAGGAAGTAAGGATGCAATAACGACAGAACAGGAAATTTTTGAAGGCTCAATTAGGATATCATCATGGACTACGGACATAACCCAGGCACTAAATATTTACACACATGCATGTCTGGGGTCCCCTTGTAGTTTAGTCATATCATCCAAAAAATAACAACTGGCTATCTTTTACTGAAGATGAGCCCTTTTGGAACCAGGGCTTTTAATATTCCACCTACTGGTACACACATGTATTTGAGCTTATATTCAAACTACAAAACACATTCTCCTGAAACATTTGCTCCATGCACTTTTTCGTTAAAGATATTAAGGATTTAGGTTGGGGTTGCAACTCTGTATTAGGTTAGGTTTGGGGTTAGGGGTCAGATAATGTTGGGTCCAGGGTAAAGTTAAGAATTCATTTTAGTGTAAGAGCAACTGTTTCCGAGGAATGAGCAATGTGTACACTGTAGGTTGCACCTGTCCAAATGACCTACTGTACATGTAGTTATTGAATAAGGTTATATTTGCAGGACATTTCATCACTGCTATTTCATTCTTGTCTCTTCCAAACCACCTTCATCATAGGAAAGAGAAGCAAAGAGTGTGTACATGTACTCATCGTGGTGATTATTGAAGTAGAGCTACATATAACATACCAAAGGGGGGTTCCAATGGCTAGAGAGAAAAAGTGTGTCTAGGAGAACCAGAAAAGGAGAGGGGAAGGCAACATTAAACAAAAATGAAAACTTCCCACTCGTTCCTCAACTTGTTCTCTGGCATTTCAATTGGTGAGACCGTTGACCACCACCCCCCCCCCCCCTCCATGCCACCAATGCCGCCTAAACAGCTAGACCTGGGCTACGCCACTGACGGTGATGATTGACATTATATGTAGTAGATACAATGTAGTTGGACAAATACCATCAGTCTGGACCCTATAGTAAACTGGTAAAATGTTTCTCCATGTGGTTTTTGTATTGATATGGTGGTCATGTTTATTTCTATTGCACAGTTGTGAGTCATTACCAAAGACAAATACCGGTAAAAGGCCCTACTGTTCTGTTCAATAGACAAGTATACATGTACATTATGTATAGCTTATAACCCATTAGAAAACAATCATCACTTCAAATCACAGTCATAATTTGAATTGCTACATTATTCACCTGAATTTTTTTCTTTAAAAAGTCAGCAAGAACCCATGACAGAAAGGTCATGACAACTGGGTCGGCAAATATACAACATCAACATGCTGGGCGACAGACTGATGTACTATATTTACGTTTCCTGGCAATGTAATTGCGAGAATGAGGACAGAGGTTTACCACATCTGTCAATTGGACAAGCTTTATGCAACAATTGTTTCCTCAATTAATTGTTTCCAATACATGTACGTGACTGTGAGATCAACTAGAGGTTGTTTGAATGAACAAGTATTGATTGATAGAGGTCATAGATGTTTATTACCAATACTGAGCGTCATCATCTGTGCTAGAGCAAATTGTTCAAAATCCAAATATACATGTATTTCCTTAACTAGGGTCCCCCCCCCCCCCCCCCCATCAAAATAACTTTCTCTTGAAAGGTATGGGAGAAAAGTGAAAATGCATAAAGTGGCAATAAAAATTCAATCTACAATCGGCCACATCCTAACCCCCATAGACATGGAGAAAAAAAAGACTACTGTAGAAACAGTATCTGACATTTTGGGGGGAGGGGGTACAACAAATATTTGTTTCCAGCTGGACGGCCGTCTATTTGGGGTTATAAACCCCATATATAAAAACTATGGAGCTGCAACGACAAGCCCCAAAAATTCTTACTAGATTCCCTAATATTTCAATCATTTTCTTATATCTCAACATTAAATATATAAATATATATTTGTGTAGTGTGTCCTTTATGTCCTGTTGCTTTTTAAAATTTCTTTATCACTTGATGTTGAAAATATGAAATATCTTTCCCCTTTAGATTCAAAGAATGCACTTTTCATTGCTCATGATTTATTTACATGCATGTGATGTGCAATATCAAATAAACCTAAACTGAAGCTGAAAACTGAGTAGAGACTGAGGGGTCATAAGAAAGCGCACACATCTTCCGTATCAATTCTTCAAATGCCTCAATGTCACTGGTGGGTTCTAAAAATAAGTACCCTATCATAGGGAACTTGGCACAGGTTGAGAGGGTCAAAAAACCTTCTACCAAGAGAGAGAGAGAGAGAGAGAAAGAGAGAGAGAGAGAGAGAGAGAGAGAGAGAGAAAGAAAGAGAGAGAGAGAGAGAGAGAGAAAAGAGAGAGAGAGAGAGAGAGGCACAGAAATGCTTTGAATAATTTGGCATCAATCACAGCTGAGACAAAGAAATAACTGGACTTTGAAAATATGGCCATAAAAATTGTTTGAATTTGGACATGGAATAGCCATAAAAGATGGTATTTATTTATTTGTGGCTATGACCAAATTAGATAACAGATGAAAACATCTCTCTCAAAAGACTGAAATAGCATAGCAATCTTAACTTGTACAAAGGAGACGGAGGGGAGGGGGGGGGATTTCCTCTTTTTTAATAAAGGCTGATTCACCTACATGTACATGTACAGTACATTAAACTTCACTTGAAAAAAAAAATTAAACATTCTTTGGTATTGAAAAGTTCTGAGGGTCCAACTAATACAGGGGTAGATAAAAGTTATTACGCGTACATATGTACATGTACATACTGTACATATATAGCCTTTTTTAGTTTACTGAAAAACCTAAAATCTCCATCTTCACGCAATATAACAGAATTAAATCATGACGACGTCTTGCATTACATATCCTTTAGTCTGCATCATGCTGTTTGGCTCCATTCCATCTGTCATGTGTACATAGAGACCTAATCACTGAGCCTAGTTTAGGCAGACTACAGTGTATAATGCTATGAAACAGATATTCTAAAGGTTCAATGACCAACCATCGAGTCATTGGCAATCACAAGATAATACTTTGATTGCTCCTCTCAATAAAGTCAAGGGGCATTCAACTTCAAGGCTACAACATTAGCGTATCGGTACAAGACAATTTTAGAACTTACAATGTAAATACACAAACATCAGTGTGGAGTGATGTTGGGAAATGAAAAGGCAGAGCCATGTAATGTGTACACTGTCTGTGTTTTCTATCAGTGTCTTACATTTCATTCATTCACCTGACGAAAATACAGTGCGTATAAATTAAAAAGGTTTACCCAAATTTGGGAGCTTCTAATCAAAAAGTTAAAACCTGTGTGATCTGAATCATATTTTATTTTAAAGAGGAACTAATACCCTAATTATACCATTTCATAATTGTGCTGCAAAGGGTGACTTTACAGCAGGCTTTTCAAAAAATATTGTCAATATTGTCAAGACCCTGGTACTCATTCGCCCATGGCAGAAATTATTATGAATAGGGTATCATTGGACAAAAAATAAGTTACTCTTCATCATGAAAGCAATTCCAAAGTCATATTGGTCATGACTTTTCAATTAGGAGCTACCAAAGTTGGGTAAATTTTGTATTGATACGCCCTGTATAATACATACATTAGCTACAAAAGTTCAATGCATGGGGTTCCTTATGGGCCAGCGTGTATATGAGAATATATATCATGTAACCATAAAAGAAAAATTATGACCTGCCACTCATTGATACATAATGCGTGAAAAAATACAATTTTTCTGTATTGAAATTCACCAATGATCCTCAATTTTTGCAATGACGGAAGGTTTCTCTTGAGCTAATACTGTAATAGTTAGTACTCACCTGGCCAATTTGTCACTGCAGGACATGGTGAGTAGCCTCTCGCCTTGAAGGACTCCATCCCAGGTCTGTATTGAGGGTCCTGACTTCACAGGGATAGTTCCTTCCCCAGACTCAATCTTCGTCCTTAGTTGACCCCTGGCCCTTCGGTTCGGATGTCTATCTGGAGTGGGTTCCTCACTGCAGGACGACTCGTGGGGGGAAAAGATACGTGCGTCTCCGCAGGGTGCAGTGCTAATGTACAGATGAAATTTGATGTCGCTTCTAAGTTTGTATCCCCTGCCCGATGGGTGTGGAACGAAGATTGAACTCTCTCCCTGGTTGTCAAGGAACAGCTTTAACTGGGAGTAAAGGTACCTGATGAGGCACCTCCTAGAAATTATCTCTGCATGACAGTCATTGAGGGCCAAGCCTTGCCCTGACATGTACTCCCCATTGATGCATTTTGTACCAGTAGAGATGGTTATCACACTAGAGTTCTCTAACGTCTCACCTCTTGTCATCACAATGCCAGCTAGAACCTTGCGTTTGGCGACGGGGGACTGGAAGCCGTTGGTCAATTCACAGAATTTATTGAGAATCAATTTGTGGACATGATCTGCCAGAGCCAAGGCGTGGCCTGACGTTTCTTCATTTGTAATGGGCTGAAGATCTGGTGCCAGGACGGGATTCATGTCGAAGAGAGCAATAAGCGCAGCCTGAGCAGCCCGCTGTTTGGCAAGTTTCTTGTTGCGTCCAGTACCCTGGAAATTCTTCCCATCAATTGTCAGGGACATAGTAAAATTCTTGGAGTGACTCTGACCAGACTCTTCTTGCATTTCATATTTCTGTCCTGGTTTGAGTTCATTCAAGATCATGACAGGATTCTTCCCAGAGGGTTGTTCCTTTTTCTTGGTGAGTGATCCATTTGGTTCCTGATCCACTTTCATGTTCATTACATCAGGACTGTTCTGTGTTTTATCTGCAAGTACCACTTTCATCATGCTGGGCGGTGTTACAGGGCGCTCTTGGTCAGCATCAAATGGGTTGAAGCCACCATGGACTTCTGGTTGGTCTGATGTGAAATCTGCATTGAATTGAAACCTCCCAAGTGCTTGGTAAGCATCACTTGCATTGGGAAACTGGATGAATGACTTTAGTGCTAGCTCTGCAGCATGCATCCTTGCGGTTTTCTTGCTACGACCTGTCCCTTCAAAGAGCTGATCATTGACCTCCACGGAGACAACAAACGTGGGAGCATGGACTGGTCCTGTCTGTGATTGAGTCTTGAAGACCAGTCCAGGTTTGATCTCATTGAGCTGCATTAGGGCATTCTTTGGTAGACGTGGTCCTGGTACAGTCTTTCTTTTCTTTCGTCTAGGTTTCTGGGACTCTTTTCCATCTCCACTACTACCAGTACCATCTTCCTCCCCTTCCACCTCGTCCACCCCGTCTTTCATGGGTTCATCGTCGTCTTCTAGAGGGCGCTTCATAGTGTTGGTTTCTGTCCCACTGTTGGGTGTATTTGAGTTGAAAATTATGTTCTCCTTCAGTTCTGCTGTAGCTGCGAAGCAAAAAAAGAAAGAAAGAAAAAAATTACAATGATTTCACTTTCTCTCATATTATAGTCAATTTACCAGAATGAAGTGTAAATTGCTGCCACTAGTAATATTAACTCACTCTTCCCCCTACAAAGACAATCACACTTTGGTTCATTTTAATAATGCAAATGCATGTGTACAAAAACAATCAAAACATCAATTGAATTCTGCTTTTTCTCAAAAAGAATAATATACTTGTCTTGTAAACTACAGTTTGGGGATGATACCCAGCTGGTACAGTGCTCTTGGGCTAAATGTTTTCTCCACAAATGTAACTTAGATGAATTCGTAACACCAGCTCCAATTTGAAATGTAATAAAACAAGCTTTCACCAATATCGGTCTGCTACTCCCATCATTCGTTCTCAAAGATAAGGTAATCAATTCAATTGCAATGTGAATGATCAAAATGAGTATACACATATACAAAGCTGAAAGGAAAACCATATCATCATCATCATAACACCATTCCGAACAATATCCCTCAGTGTATGTTGTCCCAGCCCACAAGACCAACTCAATAACACTCAAAACAAGATCACAGTCATTCCCAATAAAACCTGCATGGCTGGAATTCTCAATTATCTGGGGTCAAGACATTCATTAGGGAGCAGAGCGTGTCAGGACCAAGGAGTACATTGTTGACTGCTAGGGCCTCTTTTAACTTCAGGTACTGCAAGAACAGCAAACCAAATCTTTCTGCCAATCATTTTAAGCTGAACTTGCATTTTGGAAAAACAGAACCAAATGGATATAGTGATGGGATGCATTAGATCATAATACAAATCAAGAACAACTTAATTGTACATCATCTTGTTATTCTTGTGTAAAATGCAGTAAAAGTCATGTAAGACCTGCCATTGCAATATGATAAGAGTGATGCAGAGATTAGGAGTAAATAAATGTATAATAAATGAGATACAAATGTATGAAATGCAAAAATCTAGATTTCATATATATAGCTAATTCATTGACAAAAGAAGAAGTTCTGATCTTAACATTAAATTCATTTCACAAGAATTATGAAAAAATGCAATTCCAAATAGTACTTACATGTACTACACTGTACTCACACCAACAGAATGTTGTGCATGTACGGTATATGTAGGCCTAAATGTATGTGTACCAATAAACAAAAGCATACAAATGAAAAGTGCACTTAATTACATGTACGGGCACTAACAATATAGGCAACAATAACAAAAATCATCATACTGCATAAACCGGTATGTACATTTACTATTAACCCTACATGTACAGTACATGCACAGCACTAAAACTATACATATGGTAGCAATGTACACATTTCTTTTTCCTTCTCAAAACAAGCTACAAGCAACTCTCATTCTATGTCAAGGTCGACATCCAAACTGGATTCGCCATTTATGAATAAAAGGTGAGATGTTTCCTTTTCTATTCTGGACTCGGAAGTAAAGACACTTACATGTACATAGTTTGACCCTTTTTGTAAACCAAATAGCATTCTTCTCTCCCAAACGGAGCATCTCTTATGACAACACTGTCTTTTGTTTGAGTACAGTGCTTTCACAAATACCCAGAATCCCAGACCTGGGTATCGATCTTGTGTACTGGAGAGGTGTCTCGGCCTAGACACCTTGTTTTGTTGTAGGAAAACTACAGTATAGAACTGATACTAGAACTTTTTTTATTGGAATATCTGTAATAGTACAATGTATGTCTGCCTCAAATGATTTCCTGTCCTGGAGTCTCATTGTGAAAAATCTATTCATTCCTTGATTTGTGAAATACAGGGTTTCCACCTTCACCTTACTGATACGAGTTAATTTACAAAAAAAATTATTAAAATTAGGGGGAGGAGTTCCTGCAATGCATGTATATCTATGTAAACATACATGTACATCTAACTCAAATTTCTTTAAAATGGGGCTCTGCACTTTTTGGAAGAGGACCAGATTTGACTTATTAGAGTCTCTATGCTCTATGTACAATTTTTGAAATTTGTACATGCATATTTCAGGAGCCCATGTGTTCTGGGCCCCTGTTAGTGACGAGGTTGTAAGTATCAACTAGAATGAAAAATTCACTTAATGACTTTGAAACTAAATTTTGACAAACTTCATAAAGATCTCAATAAACAGTTATTAAAAAATCAAGACAATCACTCAGTTGTAATACCAGGAAGAAATCTGGATATGATATGATGTGCATGGGTGACAAAGAGACTTGTGCTGAATGTGGTCCCCTTAGACAGTGATATGAAACAAGATGAGGGCATCAAAACAGTGTCCTGAAATGAGATAAGTGGATGAACAGTTTGCGGAATGTCCCACGGGATGTTCGTTGAGCTTCTTGGAGCAGATGACTCGCCATAAGAAGGCCTCATACTCATAGAGACCCATATCAATCTTGTCCATGAATATTTCCTTTAAATTATTTTGTGCAACAAAAGAATTCTGAAGGGTATGCTTGCTGCCATGCCATGCCCTAGGGAAAACTGTTCCATTACATGTAGTTGTACAATGCTGAAATAATTGCCCCTAAACATTTTGATGTTGTAGGTACCGTATGTAAGTCAATACTAAAATCTTTTACCCCCAGCAGTAAAGTCACAAGAGGTCATATCTACACCAGTGACCAGATAGGACCAGAGGATCTTGGTGGTTAGCAGAATAGCAGTCAACACTGGTCTTTCTACAACAAGATCTGGGTTCAAATCTGAGCTGCAGTTATTCTGATTGCGATGTTGAAGGTTCGTCACTTTTTAATATAAAAAAAATGTAATTTTCTACTGATTGGATGCAATGTAACAGAAATATTTTGTTCCAAAAGGGAATCTCTTTTATACAAATTTATTTTTAATTGAAATTTTGAGATTAACTTGCAGTGATATTAAAGACCCTTTTAGCCAGAACTATTTTGGAGCTTTTTTCTTTATCACAGGATGTCTTTATTAACCACTTTGTTGACTTTTATACTCACTTCAATTGATCCCAATATATGGACCATATAGACACTCCTTACACTTCCAGGATTCATACAAAGACAAACAGAAGATTCAAATCACAAGCTCAAAGTTATGGACTGCATCAACCTCTCAAAAAATCCAAGTTGCCACTATATCAAGACTTTATATCTGCAAAACTTTTGATGCACAATTGACAAGATGGCTCAATAATATGTATGCAATCACACACTAGATTTCTAATGTTCCCAGCGTATGTACTAAAAGTTAAACTTAAATCAATCGCTGGTCACGCAGGAGACATTGAGAGAGACAAAGCGTGAGTCACATGAACATTCGGTAGTCACTAAATGCCTGAGATGTGGACCTTAGCTGTCAGTATGATCTACTTGTACACCTGATACCGCTATTTGAAACAGAAGTAGACATTGATGAAAGGGTGGTAAGAAGAGGCGGGGCAAGGCAAGATGGATGTCCATAAATAACAGAGGATTGCAAACACATGGCACGTATACATAACTATGTCCATGTTATTGTAGAAAGTAGTGCTGCGACTTTGTCGATATAGTGTTGAATTTGGGCCTTGGCAAAATTAAATATGAAGCATTTTAAGAAGGACTAAATAGTAATAAAAAAAAATACAAAATGAATTTTTAAAAATAAATGAAACTTTTGGTAGCTGAGGATGATTTGTCCCCCACACAATGAAAAGTGAATAATTACCTTAAATACACTGATTTCTGTAAATGAAACGTACTGAACATCTATATTATTAATACGCAAAATCGCCGCGGGGGTCCAAACGGGTACAAAACGGTTCCTCAAAAACGTCTTTCCCCGACCCCGCCCGCCTCCGCCGTGGCGCGGGGAGGGCGGCACAATTCCACGAGGCCTGTCTCCCGTAACCCGCGTGCCACCTCGACCCCGCGATCGACGTCCACGCCGTTAAACGCGGTTTCGGGGTGCCGGGGAGGACGGGCGGACGAGAGCACGGCGGGCGTCGTGGATTGCGAGGAGGCGACGAACCCGCGAGAGCGAGTCGGCAAGGCGTGCACCCGCCCTCTGTCTAATTATCAAAGAGAGACGAAGAGACACACGATGGACGAGAATCCACTCGCGTCAACGGGTGTAGCAAGTCTTATTGTAAAAGGCTGCGGCGTATCCCGAGTAAGACCTCTTGCTATAGGATTCGCTTTGTAGCGTGTAAGAGAAATACACATCAACAGACGACTCACCCGGGTGATGGGATGTAGCCAATATGTACGCTCAACGGGTTGAGCGTACCCGTGTTATGCGTCTTTCTATAGGATATGCTTTGTAGGCCAGGCGCCCACAGTGTACGTGTATTACACGCTCTCAGGTCACACACATGCACACACCACAGTCGATTCGAGTCGAGGCGATTGCGACAACTGGCGCAAACCATGGACCTATTTTCACGTAAAATCTTTACTCTGAAAATAATTATACAAATTCTGTGATCTATGCCAACATAATCATAGCCCAAGCTTCTGTTTTATTGGTCTTTTCATGAAAACTACATCGAAATCACAACAAGAATAGCGCAAATAGATCTGTGATAGTACGCCTTCACGTGACAGTTCAGTTGCAAACTGCCTTAAGACCACAGTGTATTGCCACGGCAGCTGAGCGCTGCTGTCGGGGGTGCTGTCGGAGCTGAGTGTGTGAGCGTGGAGTAGCGGTGACCGGAGTAGCCAGGTCTGTCCGTGGTGTGAGGAGAGTCTAAACAACAATTTGAAATTGCTATTATTGCCCCGATTTCAATATAGTTTCGTGAATAGATGTATGAAACCTGGGCTTGGATTGTGATTATTCTGGCCATGTATAGTTGTATACTGAATTTCGATAATCATTTTTCAAAGTAAAGTTTTCACAAGAAAATCAGACGGTCGTCATGGTCGTTTAAAAACATGATAATACTTTAAGTATGATACAGTTCTTGCGTCAAATCAATTTTTAAAATATGGGGGGGGGGGGGTCAGGTAACTCAAAGCGATTTGAGTGCAGGCGTGGTGTCCACGGGTACAAAGGGCTGAACCCCCGAAAGCTCAGGGGTTTTAGGCATTTAATTACGGTCAGATGAGCATATTTTTAATGCCTTATTTGTGACACTGGCAGGTCGATCACTAATTGGCGTGGGGTCCATAGTAGAGTTGCGTATCAACTACGCTGAGCTGAGAGTATATACGCTGGCCTACGTTACTATACCCTGAGGGACGCAAAAAAGTACGCAAGATGGACGCAGAAAGTACGCCTTTTTTTACGTAACACTACGCTACTAAACTAAACAAACTGCATCTTTAAATGAATTAATGAAAAATTAGCCCAAGAAAAATGAGCCCCCGAAAGATAAAAAAAAGTAGCCCCCAACAATTTTCCCAAAATTTGATATAGATCGAGTCCCCGAAAAAAAAATCTTTCACTGGATTCTACGCTCACAGTCCCACACACAGTCGAGTCAATTTGTGCACAAACCGTCCGATTTTTCGCGTAAAATCTTTACTTTGAAAATAATTATACACATTTTGTGAACAATGCCAACATAATCATAATCCAAGCCTCTGCATATGTAGTCTTTTTATGAAACTACATTGAAATCACAACAATAATAATGCAAATAAATAGTAATTATCGAGATCCTATCTGACATAGTTTGTTTTACGATGCGCCATTCATGGTCAAACAGCATATATTATAAAAATTCTCTATATAAAGATAATCTAAATTTTTTTTGGATAGCACATAGGCCTCTATCTATCTATCTATTTGGCCCCCTCCCCTAGAATCCCGTGGATTTTCCACGGGTCCTGCTAGTAGTATCTTTAAAAGTCTGTCTCCCAAGTCAATTTTAAATTTACCTTTGTTCTGAAGTAATCTGAACTTCTGAAATTTGTCTGCACATATTTCATATTTCTTGTACATGTACACCTGTACATGTACATATGGTTTATGATAGAGTAAATTTGTAATTCTACTAGTACTTGAGAAGGGGCATTTTTTGCAGGTTACTTATAAAAATAAAGAGTTGAGTAAAAGTAAAGAGTTGAGAGTTGAATGTACATGTAGAAGAAAAAATACTGTACACTAATAATAGAATATGAAATTTCTCAACACTCTACAAAATTAACATACCGGTACACCTGTACATGCACCAGTTGGTGATACTCGTTCTCAGATTTCCACAGTAATCTACTGCTATCTCTAAATAAACAAAACTATTAAAAGTATAGCTGTCTGCTCTTCATGTACAAGGTTATCCCAGATAAACTCATTGGTACATGACAAAGATATTTAGAAGCCAGACATCCATTCTGAGACCAACATGGCCAAAATTGACCAACAACAAAAGAGAAAGGATAACTCCAGAGCCAGAGTTGGGTTCTGGCCCTTTCTGGGACCATTTCTAATTTGATATTCTACCACACTGACCGACAGTAAACGAATGAGAAAAGTTTACAATGCGAATTGAATATAATAGTGATTAGTTTAGTGTCCTAAGGTGCACGCACAGAGTTTGCTGAATTTAGAGAACTCCCTACACACACACACCTTTTAAAACTAATTGCTAATGTTGTAAAGTAACTATTAAATTGGCAATGCGAAAACAGGCATTATCGCATATACATGTACACCGCATATATTTGCGTTTGCGGCGGAACCAACATCCCAAAATTCTCTTCAGCTTTTACGTACCGTAAATCTCCATGTATAAGACACATTTTTTTGCTACCGAATAAAAATCGAAAGTCGGGGGTGCGTCTTAAACACACGTACATGTACAAATTTTTTTTTTTTAAATGAAGTTTCGATTTATGCCCCTCTACCTGGCACTCCAAGCTCAGTAATCGGTGTGTTGACTCACCACTCACCACTCAGAAACTAGAACAACACTACCTGTATGTCTAGATTTCTGTTTGGACTTAGAGGAAAATTTGTCTGTCATCTTTATTTGTGACAAGTTCACAAGCACATATCGGCGCCTTCAACTGCACCTCGCAGTTAAATGAAAGTATTTCCCCAGGTGGGTTTTTTAACATGGACCTGGCTTGCTGCCGTAGGCACATGGAACGGAAGAAGCACATTTATGGAAGTGCCATTCAGAGATCAACACCATTGTATTGAGATCATTAAGTCACACGCTACACGTGAAAAGCTACATGTAAGATGTATCGCTCTGGTAAGATATTTGCTAATATTTCGTTATTTTTACCTCCGATTTTGGATTTCCGGAGTTAACAAGGAGTAGAATAATAGTAGTTCAGTTCTTGTATAGCGCATAATACGTTATGAATTTACATCTCTATGCGCTTCCAAGAGCTTTGGACTTTATTACCCTAGCTTTAGCTCCGGCAGCCTTATCAGCGCACAGTGCATTTCAAGGAATAATCCTACCAGGTACCCATTTACCTCACCTGGGTTGAGTGTGGCAAAAGTAGATCAATGTCTTGCCAAAGGAAATTAGTGCCGCGGCGGGACTCGAACCGCAGACCTTGTGATCGACAGTCCGTTGACGTATCCACTCGACCACAACACCTCTAGAAGTGACATAAAATTCATTAAGGCCACTGTCCAATATTCGTCGGGTGCGGGAAGGTGTGATTTTGGACACATTTTAGGATTTGTTTACCTGCCTCTCCGCACTCCTCTACGGGAGCTAGTTAAGGCTCGGTCAGTCGGTGATATCAATATCATAAAAAAACGGATTCCACGTGAGAAAAAACTCCAGTTCACCTTCTTCTAGACCTACTTATATGGGTTATCCGTCTTCTTTTTTTTGCATCACAAACACGCCCATCGGAAAAATGAAACCTCTAGCGAAAATGCGGAGGATCCTTATTTTTTAGGACAGGTCTGAGCTGTGTCTGTCCGCATTTAAGAAGACGGTCCTCGTTTATGAATATGAGGACGATTCTTATTCTCGGACCAGCGCTGAGACTGAGTTTGGGGAAGGTTATTTCTGTCTAACCTGCTAACAAACAAGTATTTTCCAAAACCACGATAGTCTATAGCATTTAATCTATATGGTCCCTTAAAAATTAAATATTCAACTCTCAACACACAAAACATGACCCATTCTCTCAGTCACTGACTCAGTAGTACAGTCTCAGTCAGGCATGCAGATTGCAATGCAGACTAAAATATAACCCGAGTTGTCTACCGCCGTACCGGCCACCGCATTTTTACCGGTACGATTCTTTCTTCAAACTCATCCTTTCTCTTGCTTTCTCTTGCTCACCTTCTCCGGATTCGACGCTCATCTTGATCCAATCCTGTTCAGTCCTTTTGAATACGATATATTGCAAGATGTAGACAGGAAATACATGTATTTCTTCTACTTGACCGTACAGTGCAGTCAGTCAGTCGATCCGGGTCACTCGTACTCGACTCGACTCGTCTGCCCTGATCTTGCACGACTAGCTATCGCTAGCTTTCAGCAGAAATTGTATTGCAACATGTACTCGCGTACATGTACAGTGTAGCTAGCTAGGCTGAAATTAGAACGATGCTTTATGCACGTGCATTTTACACACGCCGAGCTAGCTAGCTGTATGTGGGGATTTCCATTGTGTGAGGATTTGACCAGACACTTTCGATACTATTCGTATTGCATTACCAATCTAGTAAACAGTTAGTGATCTATTTTAGTCGTTCAGTATTCATTGAATTTATTTGTATTTATTCATGTAACATGAATTATTTTCAAAAATTTTCCTATAAATATTTTGCATATGAGTCACTGTACATTAAAAAAAATTAGTTGTGAAATTCTAACTATACCTAAAAGTGTACGGAGTGGAAATTTTTAAATTGACAGCTGTTTTATACTTATGTCAGTCTGCTCAATACCTTACGACCCCTATTTTTCCGGGACTTTTTAATTTAAATACAGTCGGCTTTTTAATGGAGGACATTCACATCAAGTAAACTGTAGAGGTTTGAGTCTAGGTCTAGGGCTACATATTTTCCTGTGAATAAATAGTATCAATATTTCATATCATTTTTAAATATAAAGTGAACTAATCGTAGCAAACTTCGAAAACAATGATTAGGCTTATAACTTAGTCAAGAATAGATTGCATCTAACCCAAAATTAGTCGTAACATTACAAATGCATGATAAGATACAATTTAATAATTGCAGCAATACTGGTAATGTGGTTTTTACGATTGATTGAGTCAATAATTGTTACCTAGTTCTTATATTGTTACCTTACCTTGTTCTTATGTTTCATAATTTCACTTTATATTCGTTTTCTTGTCATTACTCTGTTTAGTTTTAAATTGTATCAATATTGTAAAGCGCTTTGATATAAATGTTTTATGAAAAGCGCTATATAAGTAAAAGTTATTATTATTATTTATTTTTTTTAATCATTAATTTTGATTGTTTGTTTGTTTGTTTGTTGTTGTTGTTGAGTTTTTTGTGGGGGCCCGGGGGCCGGTGTTGGGCCATGGGTCCTGAATCAGCCTATGGAAAGGCTTGCTCGTAATTTATAATCGGTCAAATATAATGTTAGAAAAATACCGGCATCATTATCCTGTTTTTTGGCACTGGCGATCTGTCGACAGAGAGAGAAAGAGCAATCGACTGTGGACTGGGCGGTTGGAAGGCCGGTAGGCCCGTCGGATAGAGAGAGAGAGAGAGAGAGAGAGAGAGAGAGTCTGAGAGAGTATGAAGTTCAAATAAAGTGACATCATGAGAAAAAATAAAATCACCGTGTGGTTAATCGAGGAAATGGGTAATAGGAGGCAATTCAAGGATATTGTTTCATGTTAGGGCCATATATAAAGGCCGAGAGGGGGTGATAATTTTAATGAGAGACAGAAAGAGAAAAGAGGGAGAGTCAGAGAACTAAGATCTCCGGGCAAGATCTTAACTGATATAATGAAAGTGGCCGCGCCCATGCACTAATTTGATATTTTCAGTCTGATCAGTAGGAAAGCAGATAGGCCTTATGGACAGATAAAACGTTGTAATATTTTCGCCTTTCTGAAGAAAGGATTCAGGGAAGGGAAAACATGAAATTGGGCTCTATATACGATTATAGCCGGAAAATTTACTGCTGCACGATTCCAACGGATCGTAGGCCCCTATTCAGTAAAACATTATAATATATTAACGGATAAAATAATATTGTAGGCCTTATAATTTAACAAATATCATTATAACTATATGCCAAGTTAACCTTATATAGCAGAAAAGAGATGGGACATCCTGTTAAAAATGTATACATAGACGACCTTTCACGTTATACTCAATAAATAAAATTTGAGGTATATAGGACTATACGGGGCCTATACATTATAGAGTAATTGATAAATCTTATTGTGATATTGAATTGAGGTGATTTATGACAGTTTTCCAATAAATTCTTCAGTATAGAATCGACGTTTTCAGAGGCAGTCTAGTCATGTCGGAGGCGTTCTTAAAAGTAGAGGGGGGGGGGCGCAGGCGCGGATCCAGGATTTCTGAGGGGAGGGGGCCCAACTTTTTTTTTTTTGCTCCCGAAAATTTGAAAATCGCGCTGGTCGAAAAGTCGTTCAGTGGGGGGGGGCGGGGGGGGGGGGGCTATTAAGCACATTTTTGGGGGGCCCTCGGAAATTTCAAAATTTGCACCCCCCCCCCCTTGAGCGTCAGGGGGGGGGGGCTATCTAAAAAAAAAAGGTAAAATTAATGTTAAAAAATGTAAAAATCCACATTTTTTCCCCTCTGGATCCGCCACGGGGGGGGGGGGGGTGCGGGTTGACTGTAAACGAACATTACGACAACATAAGCATTAGAAAATTTGCATGTCTAAATTTCATTTAAAAATGAGGGCTACATCCCAAAGCCCCTCTCTCGGTACACTGACCCCCCCCCCCCCCCCCCACGGTGTTAGTCACTTTAAAAGATATTCACAAATAATCATATTCATGGTAATCTAATTTTTTTATTTGTGTGTTTTTATCAGTATAACATCGATAATGAGATCAGACACAAACTATCCATGTGCACTATTATTTTAGGTAAAATGGAGCATTTTATTTTATTTCGCTTTATTATAGAATGAGATGCGTGTAAATTTGGCAATGGTTTCTAGCTCATATAGTTATAGCTGAGTATAGTTGTTTACACTGGCGTACTGATGGGGTGGGGCTTGGGGCAGTTGACCCTCCCCCCCCCCCCAATAAAATTCAAACGTGGTTTATTTCTAAGTCGTTACAAGTGATTTACAAACGTTGCTGAAATAACATAATTTTCCGAGGCTTTTTTCCTCACTTTTGTCCATTATGCCATAGGTGGAACTCCCGGTGGAGGGGGGTACTGTGCCCCCATCTTTTCAAGTACCCCCAAATGCCCCTTTTTACATAGGACAAGTGCCCCTTTTCTTTTCTAATGACTGTCATTTTCTTCTCTTTTCATCTCTGATGAGCACGTCTTTTCAGGTGCGAGAAATGTTTCTTTAGATCTAGATATTTTTGCCCTTTCTTACTTTGACTCGTGCCCCTTTTCCTTTTTAATAAGTGAACCTTTTCCTTCGTAATAAGAACCCCCTTCCCTTTCTCTTAATGCTACTTTTTACCTCTGACCCCCCCCCCCCCCCCAATAAAATTCAAACGTGGTTTATTTCTAAGTCGTTACAAGTGATTTACAAACGTTGCTGAAATGACATAATTTTCCGAGGCTTTTTTCCTCACTTTTGCCCATTATGCCATAGGTGGAACTCCTGGTGGAGGGGGGGGTACTGTGCCCCCATCTTTTCAAGTACCCCCAAATGCCCCTTTTTACATAGGACAAGTACCCCTTTTTCTTTTCTATAATAAGTACCATATTTCCTTCGGATGAGTGCCCCTTTCCCTTTTTTATATTAGCCTCTCCCCCTTTCGAAATATGTCCCTTTTAACATCTGATAAACGCCCCTATTAAACGTGCCCTTTTCCTTCAACAGATCTCCTATTTCCATTCTCACAAGCGCCTTTTTCATCTCTGTTGAGTGTCTTTTTCAGGTGCAAGAAATGCCATTTTCACCTCTGATAAATGCCCTTTTTACTCTGACACGTGCACCTTTCCTTTTCTAATAATTGTCCTTTTCCCTTTTGATAAATGCATACTTTCTCTTTCTCCATAACATGCACCCCTCATTCAAGGCGACTTAGAGCCCCCTTTTCTCTAATTTTCACGTAGAGCTCTCTCGCTCGCATTTATAGATGTTATAATTATGATACTTATAAAAGAACTTTTCAGTCTTTCTTCATGAGATTGTGCTTCATACTCATCTGGGTTTGTTTTTTGTCTTCTTTTTAAGATGTGATGTTTCGCACTGGGACCTCACAACTCTTTGCTCGCTCGAAAATGAATACAGACTATATTACACCCAATTGCAAATTATGTTGTTTTATGATTAAGCAGTATCTTTTACCATGTAAAAAAGAAAAATATATTGATGTCATCCCTGGTAGAGTAATCACAATCATGACGATGTAGGGATACTAAAAATGGTGTATGTTTCCCTTTGTAGGTGCGCCTTTTTTTTCTCCAGAAAAGTGCCCTTTTTGTTGGTGCACCCTGTTACGCCCACAAATGTAATAACAATTTACCCACAAATGTAATAACACCCACAAATGTAATAACACTTTACCCACAAATGTAATAATTTCACCCACAAATGTAATAACCACTTTACCCACAAATGTAATAATTTTGAATCACCCACAAATGTAATAATGACTTTACCCACAAATGTAATAAATTTGAGGTGATATTTTGTCGAATTTGTTCAAAACTAAAACCCTGTAATAAAGCATGGCAGCCACTGAGCAGCGCCAGATCGACGTTGCTCTATCCCTCATTGTTTAACGCCAAACAAGGTAGCAACAACTCCCATCTTTTAACGCCACTGTTTGTAAAATAACATTGTGTAGATCGTCTTCCATTTTTTTATGCGGCACAGATTGGGGCTTTTTTTAAAAAGGGGTCTTGATTTACAGACTAATACTGGTCGTGTGCGTACTAGACAGTATTTGTAGTAGAGGTCTGTTTTTAATAGTGTTACATGTAATCCACTACCGGTACCGCATCATTACATCAACAATTAAAATCAAATTAGAAATCTGAAGAGGAGGCAGCACGTCAATAAGGAGAACATCACAATAATTAGTCAATAAAACTTAACTAACTTAAACGAAGAGGAATGTTATATAAACACATAGTTCGCGATGGATATACAAACTTCTTCGCAGCGCTAATGCGCTAGCGAACATGACTAGTCTCACGTACATGCAGACACTATTCAAAAGGGAAAGAACGTACTTCCCATAGGTTTAACACGCGCCATGCCCCAATCTGTGCCGCATAAAAAATAACGCTTCCCGGTGGTTACTGACATTATCCACTTGCCGTCGTAGTTGGAGCTATAGTACATTGACGAGAGGGAAGTGTTACATTTTTCATAGGTTTTGCTTCGATCATGCCCTCCAAAGTATAGATCCTTTTCAAATAGCTCCATCTGCGGCTTGCAATGAATAATTTATCGCCTTCCACGACTTCCAACCACCCTATCAACATTTACTGATCAAATTAAACAAAACAATAATGAATACAAATAAAATCATGAAGATATTCAGCATCCATCGCAACACCCGTAGGATATTAGATGACTACAAACTGTGGCGTCGACCAATCGAGACATGAGGACAGTATACTAACTTACTATTTGGGGAAAAATAAGCAGTACGTTTTAATATAATATTATGGTTGATTCATAGACATAATCAAAGTTAACAGTATTCTTAAAGTGATTAAATAGGATCAGAAAGATATTAAATTGATGTCTGAATAAGTGTCTAAGAAGAGAAATTGAGCTTTTTATAATTCTATAATTTGTATAATGAATATGGATCTATCCCTTTTTCACAATGATATTACATATTTGATAATTTGGAACGTTTTATTATTAGTAGTAGTAGTATTACTATTATTATACTATTATGTTTGTCGTTATTAATAGTAGTAAAAGTATTATAAGTAGTATTGGTATTATTGTTATTATCATTGTTATTATCAATATTATTATTATTATTATTAGTAGTAGTAGTAGTAATATTTGTACACTGTATTATTGCTTGTTATTTTGTTATCAATATCCTCTAACCCTGCCTTTTCAAGTTTGTCTCTCTCACACCAAATAATCTTTCTCTCTTTCTCTCTAGTTTGTTGGTTCTCTGGCCGACTTTTCACCACCTTTATCTCTCCCCATTTCTCTTTTTTAATTCTGTCTATATTATCTGCATTAATGAGTATTCGTATTTTGCGCCCCTATACCGCCTCTCGCATTGCATTGTTTCTGTATTACTCTTTTCCCCTCCCTGGACCTAAAATATATATCTCTCTCTCTCTCTCTCTCTCTTGCTCCTTTTCAACTTCTCGACTCCCCCCCCCCCCCGAAAAAGCACCTCTCCCCCCCCCCTCTCTCTCTCTCTCTCTCTCTCCACCTCTCTCTCTCTCTCTCTCTCTCTCTTAAGCGAATACAAGACTTCCTTTAAAATGATCGTGTCAAACGTGTCACGATCTTCGACAAAAAACAGATTAATCAAACTTGGTATAGGCATCATGTATGAAGTGCAATACGTTTTAAAATTTTATTTTAAATTATAACCAGACATGACCAGAATGGTTTAATTCAGTTCAACTGCTTTAAACACAAACATTAACTTACACTATAAAACTAACAGCTGACCGAGTACGAGATAATCAACATTATGGTCTAGTCTGTCAATTTCATTATTATTATCCATGATTTTAACGACAAACGACAGACATGAATAACCACAGAAATTAAACTGTTCCTTACATCGTCAATATATTACAGTGTTTCATGACCCGCATGAAATTTAGAATGTTCTTCAGGAAATGATCAAAGTTTAGTATTTAAAAACAAACATATCTTTTCGATCGAGGATTACCATGTTAGCAGCAAAGAAAACTATTACAGTGCAGCAACTGTGAAAACGGGAAAACTTGTTGTATTGCAAAAAAATTGCCACAGGTCTTCCGGGTCCAGTTCGAAACCATACTGTATAAGACATGATTATAATATGTAGATTTTTTTTCTTAATGACCCAAATCCTTCTCTATTGCTATTTCTGCAGCATAATATAATATTCGATGACTGTGAAATATATTATAAAAGTTAAATTGAAGTATTAACGGTACCAATTCATTTTCCCCTCCATGTTCTATCAATATCGCTTGAAATTATGATAACGCCATAAAAGACCGGAAAGCTACACCCCTTTATTCACTTTCGATTAATAATTTAACAGACAAAAGGCTTACAAAAGAGACCACATTTATCAATGTTAGGGTCTCTCTATATTCAACTAGACTCATCCTACCAAACACCTCCGTCACACCACCAAACCGACACCCAATCGACTGCAAACCAGCCGAATCTTATAGTCATTCGAGGTTAAGATAATTATATAGGTCTGGTGTCCGTCTGCTATCAGTCTCATCGGTATGACTATAGTATAACGTGGGTTCAATTATTTCGTTTGTGATTGACCTCACATGATAGCTAATTGCAATTAATTTAATTTACACCAAACGACAGATATAACCCCTTGCTTACCTCAACCTCTTCCTGTCGTTGAGGCAGCACTATTCTTATTTTGATCACCCTTTTCTTTAAAACTTTCACCGCTGTCGGGGACATCGAAAAATAGCCTGAAGTCAATCTCCGGTCACGGGTATAGGGAGGCGGAAACAATTATTTAAGTGATTAATTAAGATGTGATTGTTTGTAAGTTATCTTGTGAAAGGGGCACAAGTTAGTCTGACCATTCATGGAGATGATGGTGACATTTTTAGACCGATTCAAGGAGTTTCGGGGGCCCTTTGCGGAAGTGGCTCTTTAAGTCTTCATTCTGCCGGACGCTATACAATGTCATGCAGGCACATAGGGGTAATGGCCGTGCAGTCAATTCATTGCATACTCTTTGATGAACCTTTATGTTTCATATTAGGTAATAAATCCTTCTGTACTGTAAAAAGTAATTCTCGAGCCCATTCTTTACGTCATTCTGCTCAACAAAACTTTATGACAGCTCATTTTTTAACTTTTAAAAAGGGCATGGCTGGTTGAAAAAATGAGAATTTCAATGACGTTTATGAATAATATAGCTGTCAGAATCATTTTGCTGATACTGTTGTCAATTCTTTTGTTCTTTACAGGATCTAACAGTGACGGACTCCACCCGAAAGCAGCTGATTCCGAACACCTCATCACCAGCATGTACGGGCTACTGCCGGGGACCACTCCTATCAATTTACGGCTCAACAAGGATTTAGTGTATCATACAATCACCTTGTACTCGTTGAGTTGTTTAAAGCTTGTTGTAATTTTGTAATAATGATGCAAAATCGGAAACATCCTGCCTGTCTCGCGGGAAAAGATTCCACGATTGAGCTATTAAACATGGCGATGTCGTCATCACAAACATAAGTCATACCATTTAAACTTTAAACTCTTGAACTAACTACATACATTTTTGACAATTTTTTTACTTTCCTGAAATCGGTTATTCACGCAGCAACTGTGTTTCATAAAAGCATTTAGATTTTCAATAGTCTGATCTACATGAACATGTCAATTCTCAAAATCGATTCATTTAAATATCATGGGGAAAATAAGTATTTACACATTATGAAAAAACATATAATATAGTGGAGTATGTATGTGAAGCAAAATAAATTAAATCATCCAGACTGTACAATGTATACAAAATAATAATAATTCACAAAAACAAAACAGAAATATTTGGTCCATTGTATAATATCTGCATGGCGCAAGGAGTTGTTCTAGTTTGAGCATTAGAGAAGTGCTTTTTCACAATGTATAGCCATTTCAAACGTAAAAGCAAGAAAAATAAATCACTCTTTTTTATATAAAAATAGAAACATAGCAGTTGAATATTTACTCTAAGTGTCCTTTTGCTTTAAGAAATAAGGCACAGCCTTACTTAAAAAGATATTATCCAGTATCGCTGCATTACAGTCTGGTTCTTGATTGATGCAACAAGGAATGACACAAGGCAAGTATTTTGTGAGCTGTACAGACCGACCCGCCATTTCGTATAGGAACATAAAAACAGGATGCAAAGAGAGTTCGTGCCGATGTGCAGCTGTGATGTTCTATGAAACCTTTTTGGTTCCCTGGCTACTCCTACAAGGTGCAACTTTTCCTCCGCGACATTTACAATCCTTGGAAAGATACATTTTCTTCTCTTGTGACCTTACAATGCATAAACTATACAGGGTTACGAGCAGGACCAAATGTATTCTTGAAACCAAGTTCAACTGTTCCCGAAATGGCGGGCCAATGAATGGTTCTACTATGCAGTCATTGTTATTAGCATATTCTTTTTGTTATGACACGAAGATTGGTTTCGTTGATGCTGGTGACAAGAGAACAGTCGGTGTGACCGGGACACCATTTACCGTCAGAGGAGAACTCAATCCATTGCTGACCAGTGTGGGAAACTGAAAGGAGGAATTGCTATTAAGCGAAGGGCTAAGCGTAAGTGGACTTAGGGTACTCCAGAAGTGGATGGGCACGAGTGGTGTGCCATTTTGACCAAGGAGAGGACTAGCGACCATGATGGGTGTGCCGGGGAGTGGTGAGTGGCCGTAAGCAGCGGATAAGGCACCCGCGTGCAAGTATGACGGACTGCTTCCAGGTTTCCCCAGTGATGACGTCGATGACTCAGAACCCTTGATAGTTGATGGAACTGAAAGCTGTAGGGGCTTTGGTTTGTTGCCCAAGCTTGAACCAGTGACCAATGGGGACTTTGCTCTTAGATGACCAGTGCGTCCGTCGCTACTGGCAGTTGTGTACGTGCTGCACGGAATCGGCCGACCACCAGTGCTGACCAACTTGGTTTCGCCATTTAACCTGGCTTCTGTGATGTAGACCTCCTGAACATTCACTGTCACGGGTGGTCTTGAGAACATCTCATCGCCTTCTCTGCGTAAGGACGTCGTCCACTGGAATTTCTCACGATCTACTTGCTTCGCTAGCATCCTGAGCTCCGCCGAAGATGGGCGTGGTGACCTAGGTACTGGACTTGGAGTGTGGAGTAATCTTTGCGGACTCTTAACTGGTGTGGCTCTTCCTTTGTCTTTCTCATCGCTGGTGCTGACATTGGGGCTATTGCTTCTGCTGACGCTGGGATAGCTGCGAGGGCGCTGGCTCGTAGCTGGTACATCCATGCTCTCCATCTTCACCCGGAATGGAATCTTGTTCTCCGTCTTGACGATCTCGGGGAATGAGACGAACTTGTAGACAAATTTCTGCCCCATAACTTTCTTGATGATATTCTTGTCGTAGTAGTATCGGAGGGCACGACTAAGCTTGTCGTAGTTCATGTTGGTCTTGTTTTTCCGTAGGCCCCACAGTCTAGCAACCTCTTCGGCGTTGAGGAGCTTGAACTCTCCCTCGTTTCCCGTCCAGGTGATCAGGTGCTGGCGGGCTTTGTCCATCAGCAGCTCCAGAAGAAATTGCCAGAGAGTGATGTTGGTCTCCAAACCTAAAGCAAAAATAAAGGAGATAAAGAACCATTTAAGAAATGAATATAAACCTCATAAATACTGGCAACGAAATCAATATACTTTGGTATGTTCAATTCGATGTCAACGAATAAAAAAAAACAAAAAAAAAAAAACAAGCGTATGGTGCATGTCGCTTTGATGATGAGGCTTTTTTTATGGTTAATAACCAACCACTTGAAGTTGTAAGGAATTTCAAGCCTTGGTTTGGTATAGTTATGTCAAGGAATCATTATAAACTTGGTCCTTCTAGTAGGACTTCAGGTTCTTCAGGTTCTTCATCTACATTAAGATCTCAGGACTCAAATATGAACAAATAATGATGGTAGGTTAATGAATGCACTTAACGAGAAAGACAAGATCCATCATTGTCAGATCGAGATTAGATCATAAATAACATTAAACTCACAGAATGAAAGATAGGGACTGGCAAGAAAACTTGACAAGAGGGAGTATAAGAAGGACAAATATTCCGTTCATCGCCTATCATAATCAAAGTTAAACACACATGCTGTATTGTTTCATTCTAATTCTAACTTCATTTTTTTTCTTCATGTAATTTGTTTGCGTCATTGAAATAATACCCTTCGCTATTCTTAAAGTGAAACCCTACTTACTTCCTTAATTTTAGTATCGAGAAACCATACAAGAGCATGTCATTATCTTCACTAATGAACATTTTCGAGACATATAATGAGTATGACAAGTTTAGAATTAACCCAAAAAATCTACTTCCTGGTTGACGTAACTCCTTGAAAAACAAATTTTTATAAAATCGTCCTTGAATGTCAGTTTGAAATCAACTGTTTTTGGTGGATCGGTAATCGATGGTTTGAATAACCTTAGTCGATCCCTGAACATGATGAAATTATGCAATACGTGACCTTCCTTTAAAAAAGAAGCTCGAATACATATTTTGAACTAGGCCTCCTATTTCTCATCGCAAGATATGAGGAGGTATGTAATTAAAGTATAGAGGATCTGTAATTTTCATGTTTCGTAATCCGTAAGGATTGAGGATGTATACCCAGAACACTTTAATAAACCTGACTATCATTAACACTGCACGCTCAATAACGTTAATAATCTTATTAAGATGGATAGTTCCGAGTGGTAGAGATCTCCAGACCTGTTTGAGTCTATTCATTACACGAAATTGTGGGTTGTTTAGAGCTTTATGGCTTAATGACTGTGGCTGGTTTGTTATTCACTTTGGCTCGAGAAATAATGCGTATCGCTCTCTTGAATAAGCAACTGAAGACTTTGCGTGAAATTTGAATGAAACTGTGGTGGATGTTTTAGCTTCGTATTTCAAAGTGTCTTTGTTATTCGTCATTAGAAGGACGCGAACAAGACGGAAGGAAGAGAGAGGAGCATTGAGGCGCAATGGACTCTAGCGTTTCCCTGCTGTACATAGATGGAGGAACCCTAGACGTTTAAACCAGTCTCTTGAATCTAATTCTGAAACCATACAGGTCTGAGAGAGAATGAAGAAAGAAAAAAAAAGATACACAACAAGTTGATGACGCAAGTCACAGCGTGCGTAGATGTCTTTATAAATATGGTAGCTTACTCCCACGCACTGAGAATGGTGAGCGTCTGGGTACCAAGTTTGAACCTTAGCAACAGTTTTCAGGACAAGATGCGGTAGTAGGTAGTATTTCATTGTACACTATTCAACAAACCCAGAAAACACATGAACTCGCAAGCTGATAAAAAAAACATCTTTCGGAAGTCCATCTATTTTCGTACTATATTTAGAAGGATCATAAAATTAATATAGATTTGAAGAGATTACGATAGGCGCTATTTTAATGGCAGACATCAGCGTGCAGACGCAAATGGTAGTTACGATTCATATTTAATTATCATAAAATCCCTCAATATTTCAATTGGTATATTTCAGACAAAATGGAAATTAATATTCAACTCTCGGGCTTGGTTCGGTCTTTCTCTCGGTTGAGTTTTCTAACATAATCGAAATTACGGTTTAGTGGTATGTTGATGAAATAAAATGTCTGTAAAAATGTGTGATGTATTAATTTCATTATCGATCATCATCACAAGATGAACATCAAATCCCCATGTGTATACACAAATATTTGAAACTGCACTTCGATCACGTGGCGAAATATGGTAAGACTAATAAACGTTTCTGTTCACCCCTTCCAGATGTATAAGCTGCAGGGATTATCAAAAGTTTTCCGCTCAAATTTTAGCCTGAATAATGGTAAATCCCATATTAAAAAATCAAGATTGTTCTTTCAACAATAATACTCCTGTTTATCTAGTCTACGACAGAGATCAACTAGATTACTTTCACTGCCTCACGGTCATGGTTTTGAATCGGAATTTAACAAGGATACGAGCTATAGTTTTCACTAACAGAGAAAATACCACACAGGAAAGCTTTGTTGCTTTTATACATGATACCAATAAAACACTAAGTTCAAGTGGGAAATCTTCTTGATTTCCTGTCCCGAGTAGAAAATATTCCTCGAGCATTGTCCATGGATACAATGGACTGTATTAAAATGAAGTTTCGATATGCCATGAACTTTCAAATGCATTGGTATCTATACTTGGAGTAATCATACCAATTTAACTTTATAAACGCTCAGGATCAAAATTGGACCCTACATGGGGAATTTATGTTTATCTTTACTGCAGAATAGGGAATACGTGGGACTGAGAGACAATCCTAAACCGTGCTTTTCCTCAAGAATACACGTGTTATCGCAGGGAACGATCGGGACAGATAGTCACTTGCGTCAAAGATACAAATCCTGTGCTTTTCCTCTACGTCACCAGTTTCCAGCGAAAGAAAAAGTTATCCCTTTTGAATCCTTTCGTCTCAACTTAGTCCGATCCTCCATTAATATTCCTAAATAGCTCGTTGTGTAAACCATTGAGGGATTCGATGGTATGTAATTGATCGTACATGTACAGGCCTACAGTTATTGTTTAAAATGTGTTAGCTGAATACTGACGGTAATCGTGAGTGACGTGAATTATTTTGATGGTGAAAATCATTACCGGGTATATAGGCTTCTGTATAATGGAGACTGCATTACACTAAATGAAGCAATCATAAGAATTCAATTACAACCTTAAAGAAAGAGGATACTAACTGCTAAACATACAAGTAGGAGTAATGAAGAGTGTGAAAGAGATGGGAAGAGGCATGTTATAAAGAAAAGCGAGAATAAGAAGAGGGGGACATGAAGGAGGTGGATGAGAGGAGAGGGTCTATATAAGTCATACTGTGTGGAAGAGAATCAAAGATAACTATGATGGTAGGGGGATTCAAATGGCGATAACGCAAAGGGCCTAGTAACAAATAAAAAACAAAACTGTAATGCGGAATGAATCTCACCTTTCGGTTTGATGTGCTGCATCTGAATGTTCGGTTTCACGTCTGAATGAGAGATATCCATGCTGGTAGCTTCTGAAAAGACAAAAGAAGATATAATGATATAACAAAATCGTAATGACTTTACGAGCAACTGTTTTTTCAAATCCAAAAATGATGAACACAGGTAATTTCTCTTCAACCTCCCCACAGACGTGACGGGAAAGAGTTGCGCGTTACGTAACAGTATACGACTAATTCCTTTCATCCCAATTTCAACCCCCTCCCCCTCTCAACCCATTCTGTGTATCACTATCACACCTATCCTGACCTTCCTCCACTAATTAATGTAAATCTAAGACAGAACGAGATGATGAATCTTCGAAAAGGAATAGCAAGAAGTACCACGAGACTTACTATACTACCAAGAATATTCTGATGACGAAAATTTTACCTCGATTTTAATAACTTGCGAGAAATAAACCGGTTAACACAACCAACGAGAGTCAGAAGCAAGAATGAACGATACAAGGCAAAACTAAGAAGAACGTTTCGTCTTTCTGGGTTGAAATCAGGATTTGAGAGTTGGTTTTACTTGTTTCTGCTTTCATGACAACCTTCTTTTCTTTACCTTACCGCCGTCATAAGGTTTCGAACAGAGAAATGAGAACGCGCGGGAGTGGCGGGGGCGGGAGCAACCACGACAACTTACTTCTCTATAACTTTGATTACTCAAAGAATCATTATGCTGGCCTGGGAGTAGTGAATAAGCCTTTCAGCTTCGTCAAAATGGTTATGCTCTGCCCGTTTTACCGCATAGCTGACTAATGAAAAGATTCTCAATTCCACGTTCCTGGTAATTTTAGGCGAGTGAAAGTCAGAAGGTCGCTTCATACGTATTTATTATGGATGCAGCGCCCTTCTGAAGCTAAACTCATTGGCTATCGGGAGCAAACAGGGACATCTTATTCACGATCAAAATGCTGATATTGTGCGAGAAAGTAGCTTATACCGTCAAATAAAGTCTAGGTATTATGTATAATTATAATGATGGTAATTCTTTATACTTGCTGTTTGTTCACCTCAAACAACTTACAGCATTCAACTGATATCTACTTGAGCATTTTGAGAAACTTGCATTGGCATTCTTCCCTTATAATTATAGAGTCATCATTATCGTAATAATATAATTATGTAGAAGCAAAATAATTTGCACATTGTGAAAATAGAGAGAGAAAGAAAGACGGGGCGAGTATGTGTGTATGTGTGAGGGCGTAACAGCTTTATGTAACACATGTACATTTCGGTTCAAACAAAATAATTATTTCTGTTTAAACAAATTATTTGCAAACGCATTTTTGTGTTATAAGTATATCTTTGTCATTACGTTACCCTTCAAAGTTAAAGAGTCAATAGTCAATATGATAGCGTACAATAAGAAGTCTGCACAGCCTAAAGGTATACCAGACGAAAATGTAATTCAATATTTTTCCTTTTTTTTTCTGTATAGGTGTATCCCATAATTTTGGCAATGAAGATCAGACATCAAACCTATGCTGACTTCCAAGTACAGATGAACCTTTACAAAAATACAGAGTGCATGTAGATTTACATTGAATAAATTGTCGGACTTAACCTTCCCGCGTAATCACTGGCTCGGTGCCCAGCATTTGCGACCATGTCGTCTCTAAATTATTATGAGGCGAGAGACTTGTAACTGTTGGTTCACCTTTATGACGTCAAATTGGATACGAGCATCTATATCAAGGTGATATTTTTAACCGCGCCTAGTCATGTATTCCCACAGCTCTGTTACTTATTATACCCCCTCCTCCCCATCATCATTGCCCGGTTGTATCCCTCAGGGTCCCCCTTTCGCACGTGTCTGTTGCTAACCCCGGGATTAAAATGAATTCTTGATATCTAATGATCTTAGTTCGTCTACAAGTGATCCGAACGTCTGTCCTCTTCCTTTCATTTTCTTCCATCCCTCCTCCTTTACTCCTATACTTATTCCCTTCCCCTCTCTATCTCTTATTTCTTCCTCAATCATTCTTGACGATTCTTCCTCTCGACTCTGCCTCAAACTGAAATAAGACTTTAACATCTTCTTACGATATAAGAGTTAGAAGGGAGTTAACTCATAACTATTCTGACGTTTGTCCCAAAGTAACGCGCCGTATCAGTCTTTCTTAAAAATTCATACCCATCATTTTGTTGAACATAATTCACATTCATTAACCTTAGCCCATACACATATCCATCTTCTTGAAAAAGAGAAACGAAGACCGTCCGCGGTAAGTACCAAAAATATCCTGCATTACGTGTAACCATGCAGGATGTCATTTCCCCCGCCTGATTATTGCCCTAAGGAAGGAGGTCTTTCCGTTTTACCTTCATATGCGAACACCTGTATTTTCAACCTGGTCTAAAATTGGCACTCGAAGATGGCTTGTCACGAGCCGATTTCTTGTCGAGTCAGTGCACGTCTTAATATCCTTCCGTATACTAAGCTCCATGAAACCATCCATCTATCAAATTCAGCTTTCATTTATTGAAAAAGATGATGAGCTTTAATTTTGCTACGCATAAGTGGCAAAGACGTATACTCAGCTTGTGAATGAGCACCAAAATAAATTTTTAAATCGTTAGGAAGATAATATAGATGAGATTTAAGCGTGGATGCGAGTCTAAATTTGCACTCGTGATCCGCAACGGGAACTTCCGTCCAATAAGAACACAGCTTTCGAGCCCCTCGTTTTATCACTATACCCAAACTCGCAAAGTTGGAGGGCAAAGACGGAAAGTGTCTTGTTCCACATACTGTGCTATCAATAACGATGACCTCCCCGTAAACTTTTCCAAAACACACACAACATACAGAGCTAAAATAATTCATATCCAAATAAAGTCTCCTTATTTTGCGCATGAGGCGTGGTCGCAGCGGAACCAGAATTAAAAACTAAATCCCGCTTTTCCTGTTGTCGGTGGCCGTAACTCTACACCTTAGCCTGCCTTCTCAAACTCAATTTGGCATCGCTAGAAAGAAAAAAAATCATGTGGTGAAACATCAAATTAGATATCAAGTCAAAACAAATGGTTAAAAAAAAGGAGAAATAACCCCGATTGCACTTTCTTTCTCCCTCTCTCTTCCCATGCCTAAGATCATGAGACACGCGTCGTGGTATTTATATCCTTCCGCGATTAAAAGTGATTATAACTCATTCCTGACGATTAAGGGCATATTCCATGTTAATTGTGTTTTAATGCTTAATATCACTGTGACGAACTGCAGAAAGTGCATCGATGGTGGTATGCTATCTGGGCTTACTGTGAGAGGTGAGATACAGGTTCTCTTACTATTGATGGGTAAATCTATCGATTAAAATGAAAGGATGATAAAGAGAAACCGATAGAACCGTGTAAAATTGTTGCAGTCAAACAAGCAGAGGATCAGAAAGAAAATAGAAAGCTTTTGGCGCCACCGTCTGGAACATTACTGTGGAACAAAATCACGCTGTTATTACGATAGCATCCTGTTTTGATTTAGTGTGGTGTGTACATGCAAACTCATTTGATGTGGCCCTTCGTGCTCTTTGTCTGTATTTATCAAATATAGCTAATTACTTTGATAGGGGACTTTTTAATGCGAGCTCTCAAATTTGTGCCGATCATAATTATCACCACCTCACACGCGCGCACACACACACGCACACACACAGAGACACATCTCTCCTCCCTAACTTTTCGTGGACAGACATTAAGTAGCCCGCGATTCATTTCGTCATTAGGGTTAGGTGATTGGGTTTAGTTGGGTTTAGGTGAGGTTTATGGTTAGGTCTCGTGTTAGTTCTAGGGTCGAAGTACAGGTTATATTGAGGTTTAGGGTCAGGTTATGTCGAGTGTTGAACTAGGGATTCGGTTAGCGTACAAGAAATTGACAATGAAGCAATAATCGCCGGACCATTGTCATGATCATTGTGTCGTAGAAAAAATGTTTGGCAGATACTGGATAGCCCTCAACCAGTACCAATTATGGCAATAATTCTACATTCTTTAATATAAACTACCATTTCTAGGTTACTTTCGACACTTACACAACATCGTAAACTTAAAATTTTCATGAAGAAGTGAGTGCTCATAATTATTTAAGAACATGCCCTTATGTCTGAATAAAGGGAATTTCCCGAAAAACGTCGTAGAAAAACGCCTGATATCCCATTTCCGTCTTCCTCTATCATTTTAATGGCACATTTGTTATTATTTCTGCTTGCTCATATCACAGCATTTTATTGGTAACTAAGAAAAGTTGATATTAATACTGACCAGAGTTTCACTACGAGATTGTGATTTATGAAAAAAGAAGAAAAAAAAAATACGGATGCGCATATATATTATATAGCGCCTTAACAATTTTGTTGATATCCTGATTGGAAAAGAGAAGACGACGTCCGGTTTCTTTCTGAATGACCTAATTCCGGTTCATTTTAAACACAATATAAATAAGAGATCCGCAAAATGGTTACTCGATTCAAGCGTGCAGCTAATTAAGTTATTAAGAATGGGGTCCATTTTCAAGTTTTTTTTTTTTTAAACTAATCCTATCGAGTTGTTTTCTTCCTGCATCTTTTCTCTCTCTCTTTTTCTCTTTACATTTGTCACTGCTCTTTTTGGTCTTGAATTTGCTGCCACAGTTCGTTTTCCATTTTTCGTCCATAATCTACTTCACTCATAACTGTTTCATGCCTTTTTTTTCCAAAATACAAATGCGCTTTGTGCCCTTACAAACGCAGTATCAACTTTGTTTAGCTGATAAAAGAAGAGGAGGGGAAAGTGAGTCAAGCCGGCCAAGCTTTGTGGTTGTATTTTGAAAGAGACAACCGATGAGCCAATGTGATAATTCTTCTATAAATATATATCAAGAATATTGACGTTGGTATGACGCAGTTGAGAAGGTTCATTGAACGAACACCCCACAAAAGCAGTTCGTCTTAAACTGATGCTGGAATACACGCAATGCACACCCCTTGTTTGTTTTACGGAACAAAGATGCACCTGTTTGTTCTTACCGTAAGCAAAAACACGTCCTTCAAAGAAAAAGTGTTCAATCCCCGTTCAATCTTTACATGGAAACATAAATGATAACGATTCTGTACATCGGATGTGAACTTTTCCCCTAGATTTTAAATGCGTTTATACTAATTAATGTGTAAGTAATTAAGAATAGTAAGCAAGATGAGTCGCTATGCTGGTCGTACGTTTTGACCGTTGTGATTCTGAAAAGTTTCATCGCAAACGGTCCGGATATTGACACACTCGTCATCTAAGAAAGAAAAATCATAATGATGATCCTCTATAAGTAGGCATGCGCTCACATTTTCATCAGAGGAACTTCCAATCTTCGGATTGTCTCGGTTTTAGAATTATCTTAATGGTTCTGTCTACAGGTATATTCTAGTTAAGTGGAAAAACCGCATCCCTATTGTGGTGTATCGCAACCAACACGGATTTCATTCAAATATACATCGTTATAAATATCGTTATGTCAATATACTTTACCAACATGCCATGCCATAGAATATCATGAACAACTTTCATTTCATTTTCGCACTTTTCAATTTTAATGCTAAATCACTTTATAGTACATCATAGTCACATGACAATGTGTTTTAGTTCATCAAACTTAATTACATATCCAAAGTTTCTCTTTAATATATTTATATTGTTATTGGACGCGGAAGTGTATAATAGCTTCGGAAAGTAGAGATAGATTTCCCTTCGAATTCCCTCCAACATTGTGAGAAATAAGGTCTCTTAGTTTCCGTGTTTGGAGTTTAAAAAGGGGCATTACAATATGCTGCTATAGAAAAAAAATCCATTACGTCATTTAAATTGTGTTTGATTATGTTGGCATCTGTAGTGCTCAACAGCAGTCGGAAAATATCCAACTATGCATGGTTATAATAGGCATAAGTTAATTTTTGTGATGAGGATGAGGATGAGGGTGCAAGGGTTACGAAATGGAATGTCCCATACACCTTCTTCCATTAAAACCATAATTGTGAGTTGACTAGCCTTTGACATCATTTCTCAAGTACAATGCACTGAACAAGCAATGGACATTTTTTTTGTAATGACCTTGATTACCTTGATTATTTCAAATAAAACTTCATCAAACGGAAGGACAACATAATTTCCTTAAAACCCGTAAATATATCATTTATTACCTGGGGGGATGAGAAGTGGGTGGAAGACAGAAAATATGGTCCCTATGTGTCATTGTATTACATATGTTACTGTAATTCATCATTCTGAAGCTGATATCCTTCCTATTTTCATCAAAACTCCTGCGGCGGTGATACAGTGAAATGATATTTTTTTAAGCGGCCGCCCTTTCCCCTCCCTCAAAGAAAGGTCCCTCAACTCACCTATGTTGTGTGCAGCGATGGCCGTCTCATACGAGGTCGATGACGCGATCGAAGAAGTCTGAATAGTACCGGGCTCGAGCTTAATCAGGGGTGGCAGCGGCGGTGTTCTCGACGATGCTTGCGCTTCCGACATTGTGATGATTCTGTGACCACTAGTTGCCTGTTAGTCAAGTTGTCTGCTTTGTTCAAGTACGTCACGCTCTCTGAAATGAAGAGTTGTTTTCACTCGCGCAAAACAGCTATCAAGTTCTGTTCTAAGAGAGAGGAAATAAGAAAGAGGAGAAAAACAACAAACAGTGAAACCAATGATGTCGGGCGGAATAAACTCTTTAACTTCAAGACATACAGTCTATTTATATGTTCCTATCAGATAACATTTCCTCATTAAGAGATTGTAGAAAATCATACATTTTCCCCATCAAAAAACCACTTGAACATTTTAAAATGTAGCCGGAAGGAGCTTCGATTACAGTCATGTTTGGCTACATGGGATATGCATTTGTTGTTTTTCACAGAAGGTTACAAAAACCTATTTTCCAGGGTTTTGAAACCAACTGATTTCCTAATTAATTCACAAACTTCAGGAAAGTGAAAGTTGGCAAGAGTTACTTTACAGAAATAAAATACAAAAACGTGGTTATAACGGAGGGTACTAGTACAAGACGAGATTAATAAACTGTTTACTGGTTATAATATTTTCATCGATAAATCATATCGAGTCTATAGAATGCCCCTCATCAGTAGTGGATGGGAGGGTGAACAACCAGTTCATGACCGTTTCAAAACCAGATCTTGCATACCTTTAATTCCCAAAACAAACAAAAAATGTGGTGCTCATTTTGTATTTAATTCTGTTACACTTTCCTTATTTTTAATTTGTATTGCTTGTGAGCAAGTTTTCAATTTGTTGTTGTTTTGTTTTAAACAGAATCCCGGGTCCTTCCCTGACCACAATAATTTATGATAAATCCGAAAAGTATGCAAACTCGAAATAATGTGTGGTATATATTATATAATAAGACACGTGGTATTATCCGTGTATACACGGTCACCCAATGAGACATTCATGGGGTCTGGGTGGAAAACTGACTGCGAACAAGAGAGCACACTTGGGGCTCTCGGGAGTGGTTGAAAGTGTTGTCGATATCTTCACGTCTCATCCTTGTCATGATAATATACCTCAGACACTTTCGACGATTATACCATGATGGCCATGGAAGGTATAGAGATGTCGGGCGAAGGAGTGTAATAGAAAAAATAGAGACATGTGGATACAACGAGAGGGGGATAGTAAGGTGGATGCGCATGATTGTGTGCGTGTGCGTATGTGTGTGTGGGTGTGTATGAGAGAGACAGAATGATATATTATGGGGGTCCGGAGAGCGAGAGAAATGAAGGTATATGATGTGTAGGATCTAAATTGTGACAAAAATTATATTATGTCCTGAAGACTCCTGATTATACATTTCTGCCTATAAATATAGAGCACGTAATTGATGTCTACCTTTCATCCGTGCTGTTTATTAACCCAGGTTACTTACCTATATAACAATTCCTGTGTATATTATTGCGGGTAAAATTATACCCTGTAGGCAGTTAGCTTACTCCGCTCTATCATATCTATATTCTATAATGGGTTCGTGCAATTATGAATATACGCCGTATAATAGCTACCAGCAGAGTTCTGAGGTTACTGTCATGTGACTAAGCAACCGATTAGTCACTGCTTTCAGCTCGTATATACAGGAACCGAAAAAACGGCACATGATATCCGTCATGTCGCTTCACTTTCACAGAAATCATATACGTGTGTACCAGTAAAAGGAAACCTCAGCATTATGAACTAGTAAAATCAGTGGCTAAGTTATATATTTGTATTCGTATAAGTTTTTCAATCACATACCATCATTACCAGTCATTTCAACAGTATCATTGCTTAAGGTACTATTTGTTTAGTGTTAGTGTAGTGGTAGTAGTAGCAAAGCATTAATAGCAATAGTAGTATTAGTATTAGTTGTTGTAGTATTAGTATTAGCAGTAGTAATAGTAGTAGCAGTAGTAATAGTAGTAGCATTAGTACCGTAGTAACACCGGTAGTACTAGTTAAAGTAGTAGTAGTACTAGTAGTAGTTGTAGTACATGTAGTAGTAGCAGTAGTACATGTAGTAGTGTAATGGTAGTAGTAGTAGTAGTAGTAGTAGTAGTAGTAGTAGTAGAAGTAGTGAAGCAGCAACCCAAATGCACCAGAATTCTAGTGAGATAATATAGCTAATAAATTAGCTTTCGTACATAACAGAAGTAAAAAAAAAAAAAAAAAAAAAAATTGAGGTGAAATATGAACATTAGACTATACACGCAGGCCTTTAATAAAGTTTGGAGCAATTATATTGCATCGTGTAAAATAAAATTGATGCAACTAAAGAGAATGCTAGCCAATAATTTACATAATAATCCGAGCAGCTATAAAATCATTTGATGAAGGAAGCTACTAGCTTTCGTGGCGTCACCTTGCTCAGCTAATTTCAACGAATTAATAACAAACAGTACAAAGGCTAAAAAATGAAGGTTTTTAAGATCGTCATTAGAAATATCGAGCTACAGTTCAGGGTATGGTCGCAGTGCAGAATATTGTAAAATGGAATCAGATTTCCGCCGAAATTAACGAATTAGCGGTGTGGCCAGCTAATATGATAGCGTAGTCAATGCTAACAGATTTGGATAATATTGGAAGGATTTTGTGGCAATACACATGATAATTATTAACATTTATTTTATGTTTTCGGAGGTTTGGGTGAACACAGTATTGCTAACATTTTTCAAAGAGTAATGATGGCATACGAGAATCTTCAATTTAGCAAATGATATTGGCACATATTATATGGAGGATAATATCTTCGACACATTCTAGTATGACATGGTGTACTATCAAATAGAACATTACATCTTTAATTTTTTGTTAATGTATTTTTATCATTATTGAACTTTGAGAGTTCTTTTGGGAAGTAGTAAACTTTCGAACTTCACAATGACATAGAGCTGACTGTAAGTCCCAACATGATATGTATATCATCATTACCAAGGGGTATCATAAAAACAAAAATTTGTGATAGTCCCCGTGCACAAACGTTGTTAAGTGGGAGAGGGAGAGGGTGAGGGTTTTCCGACTTCCATTGTGGGTCTATCGAGTCACGGACAGGGGAAGGGCGTGAGTGGGATTACGTGTAAGGGTGGAACTTAATCCCCCAGGGTGTATCATCTCCCCGCATTCGCAGGGCACTGCCCATGGACGTTAGGATTTAGGGGCACTCGAGAAGGCCTGCGTCTTTTCGCTACTAAATTGTGAAAAAAAGCCCCATGTACAAGGGCCATATTACGAGAGGCTTTCAATCAAATTGGGGTTCGAATCCCGTCCTGCACTCATTATGCCCTTTGCCAACACCATTTTTATTTAATCGTTTCTTAATTATTTCAGTTGGATTTTTTTTATAATGATTCGTGCACCTAATGCAAGTTCCAAACCGTGGGATACCTTTGAACAATTCCAACCTTGAAATCGAGAGAATTTATTTAATTGGGAACCACATTATGCGAAGCAGCAAAATATTATCGAGGAAAGGTGTGTGTAAAACTCTGTATAATATCGTAGTCATCCTCAATGCTTTCCCAATAATGAGTTGAGTCAATTTCGGGCTCATATCTTTGTCATCGTGAGCTGCAATTAATGCCTCGTGCCTATAAATAACCTCTCACCCTAACTTCAATGAGTACGGAAGGCCACTTGCATGCACGTGATCATATTTTCCAATTAAAAGGGGTGGGGGATAGTCACGATTCCCATCCGCTTGCCATAATCATGGGAACGCGCATCGGAACCGACGCACGTGAGGCGATTGACGGGCGACAAGTGATGTACGTACGTCAGCCCACCCCTTTTATCAACGTCTATTGAGCGGAGAAAAATAGAAGAAGGTTGATTTCGTCAATGAACTCATAAAAGAAAGAGGATGTGTACTCCTGCATGAGGAGAAAGCAAGACGGAAACAAACTTGAAAGGAGAGTAAGTCGCCACATTTCGCGAGCGGGGAGGAAATTCACGTCAGCGCAATGACATCATGATCTAAATCGTCTATTATCAATGATTATAGTTACCCTGGGATTAGAAAGAGACGTACGAGGGATAGACAGACATGCGCAGTTTGGACTATGGTGATATAGATTTCCTTCAATCCCAGTGGTAGTTATTGAGAAGACTCTGTAAAGAATATGTATCTCTATAGATTGGTCACTCTGCATGGAAGAAATGGTTACAAACCTCTATAGACATGAATGGATTGGGCGAATAAATAAATGAATATGGGATGAAAAGAATATTATGAGCTGTAGTGCAAGTAGCATTCCATGTACTAATAAAATTAATAATTTCAGAGCAGTGCTTTTAAAGGTGTTGAAGGTAGGTATAGGCCTCGTGGTAAACAAATCCAAACTGTCCGATTCACATGTTCAGGTACAACAAGAAAAAGAGAGGGGGAAAAAAGGGGGGGGGGGCTACATAAATTTAAAGGACTGTAAATGGTATTGTAAACCACATGCCTGGATAATTTAATGAAGCAGTGATTAAAATGGCTCGGGAAATAATGGGTGGGTATACATGTGTTGAGCACCTGGGTAAATACCAAACCAAACCAACCCTACATTGACCTCTATAGGTGGGACCGATAAGGAAACTCGACATGGATCCAGGGTTCAAGTTCAGTCATAATTATATTTGGAAACATAAAAATGAAATTGAACCTGGACGTGGTCATAAAAATCAAGCTGTGTTTCGCATCATAGTATACAATGTTTATTATTCCGCCATTTAGACTACAGCAAAACGTACGTAAACATATTGATTAAATAATTTTTTAAACATTTCCATCATGTATATTTTGCTATTCATTAATGCTACATGTTTTCTTTACTGTGTCTTCTGAGAAGCTATAATGAAAAGAATAATCTCTATAGTATACTGGGGGAAACAGGAGATAGAGGTAGAAATTTAAAGTAGAAAATATTCGGTATTTCAAATTAGTATATATAAGTCATATACATATCCGTTTAGTTCCAGACTAATTATTAATAAATGAGGTTGATTATGAAATAGTATCTGATGAATATAATAGATCCCCAGGTAAGCCCTTGGAAGCCTGTATTGTTCAGCCTATACCCAGTAAACATTTACATGACTAAATCATATGATTAAATCAGCCCTATA